AGGGGGGTGGGAGAGTGGGGGTGAGGGAGGGAAGAGGGGGCAGGGGGGGACGGAAAAGGGGTGTCATACCACGGTGGCCGGGACGTTGGGTTTCCGTTGCATTATTCAGAGGGGCCTGACGCCGGTGACACCAGGCGGAGCAGTCCCTAGGGGGCCTTACCTCCTCCACCTCCTCCACCTCTTCCACCTCTTCCACCTTCCGTCGACCGCGATCGGGATCCCTCCCCCCCCGCCCCCCGCCTTTTCAGCAGCATTTGCATGCGTTTTTGTATTTATCGTTCGCTGCTCACAAATCTCCCACCTCTCTGCCTCGCATGTGCCTTTGCCCGCTGCTTCTGCTGCCTGGCCAGGTGAGTCCAAAGGGTGGTTCGAGCTTCTTCGGTATTTCGCGTTGGCGTCGGTCGGCTAGCCGGACTAGGATAGTCGGGTCGGTCGGGTCGGTCGCGCGTTTTAGTTTTGGGGGGCTGGGAGGAGCACTTGCATACCGACAGCCTTTCAGTATCAGCAAATCAGCTAATTCTCCAGGCCAGCAACTTTATGCCAGCTTTACGACAGCACTGCTTTACTACTTTTCCGCCGCCTTCACACCTACTTTTCTACACCTACTTCTCTACGGCTTGGCAATACTATTTCTTCTGCTTTTTTAGTCCTGGCGGCTTAGGTAGGTAGGCTTTCCGACATCTTCTTCACTTCGTCATCCCGAGGTCGCGGTCTTCACGGACGCCTTTCGGTCAGTTCTACGTTTGATACACTCTTGCCCTGGCAGCAGCTTCAATCGTGTGTGGTTCGTCTTTCCCCCCGCCGCCGCCGCAATCTCTCCTTGTGCCGACTCCCCCCTTTCCCCCGGTGGTTCGTCTTTCCCCATCCCGGTCCTCCGAATTACACACACACACATCTGTATGACCGCACGTATGTACTTATGTATCTGTATCTCATCTAGGATCTTTACCTTCGCCTCGGAGGGCAATGCGGAGGGCCTCCGAGCTCTACTGGCTGAGGCAGCGGCAGCAGCGGCAGCAGCGGCAGCTGCTGCCGGTACGGACGGGAAGCAGCAGGAGGATAAGGTGAATGTGGTGACCAGGCGATGGAATGATGGAGCAGGAATTACGAATGAATGCCTTGATCTTTTGGTTTCGGAGTTGCAGACGGGTTTGTCACCCAACCCGTGTAACCTGCTCAACCCCCATCACGACCTTGTTCGTACTGTTCCTACTGTTCGTATGTCATAACCGTTCCTTCATCACTTTCTTTCTGTAGCCCAAAACACGCGGCCCCCGCGTCTCTTGCCACTTCTGGGCTCCCGGCCGGCCGGCGGGCGCCCCCCCGCCATACACACACGTCCCCCTCCCATCCCCCCCTCCGCCCCCGGATCCCGCGGATAGGCCATCAGTCTTCGAGTCGTTGACAATGACGGGTCCACGCCGCTAAACTTGGCCATTGCGGCGGAGAGCTTGGCGACAGTACAGGCGAGGGGAGGGTGGGGGAAGCGGAGGAGATGGGAGGGGAGGGGAGGGGGGTCAGTGCCTTGTGAAATTAGGTGCAACCACCTTCCTTTTATGTGGGGGATGAAATTTGGGATGAAGGAGAAGCGGGAAAAACCCCGTGTTCACACCCCGCCGCATCCAAACACGCGCGCCGAAACCTCCTTCCCCCCGGGCGCCCTTCGCTCACCACATGTAGTTTGTGTCTGAGGACACACATTTGATTGTTGCATATCCCCCCTCTCCCCTCTCCCTCCACAATACACACACGCACACGCACACACGCACATACACACCTTAACCCCCCAGGTCATATTGGATTACGATCCCGCCATGATCAACTACCCGGACATGTCGGGCAACACCCCCCTGCATGCGGCCGTGGAGGCAGGGAATCTGGATGTGCTCAGGTACCTGTTGAACAGAGAACCGCCGCCGGAGCTGAATGTGCAGGTGGGGGCCCCGTGTGTGGGGGGGAGGTCGTGGCGGGGCGCCGCTGCAGTGCCTCACCATTATATTCCCCGTTTCCTCTGAATCCGCGTGTACGATATCTGTGTGTGTGTGTGTGTGACACGTGGCACTCCCGCGTTCTATACCCCCCCACCCCCCACTTTGCCGCCTTCCCAAACCCCCCGCAACATTCCCTTTCAGAATATGAACGTCAGCGAGTACGCCCAGGGCAACTGGATGCTGGCGGGCGAGACTCTGGAGCCGTTCGACAAGACCCCGCTGCATATGGCCGTAGAGGCGGGGGATGTGGAGGCCGTCAAGCTGCTGCTTGAGACGGGTAAGTGAGGGCTGGGAGGGCTGAGATTTATATGTGCGTGTGTGTGTTTTGCCCGTTGACGCCTTCCTCTCTCGTTCCGGGGAATTCCGCTTTGTGCGGATATGATATCCCCCTCCCCCCCCTTCAACAGCACTCCCCCGGCCCCTGGCCACCCAAGTAGGCGTTTTGTGATTGTGCCATGATCTGTCCCACCCCCCAACATGGACACAAAGGGCAAGAATGCTCCCGGTCCAACCCTAACCCCTCCGGCTCCTGGCCCGCTTTTTCCGCCTCCCTTCCCCTCCCCTCCCCTTCCCCCCCCCCCTGAGTTGCGCGACTGCATCCCCCCACCTCGCCACTGTCATGCAGCTGGTCTTGTTCGCATCACCTGGTAGATCATTAGCAGGTTTTCCCGTGTTTCCTAAACTGCTCTCACCTCTCGACGGCGGCAGCAGCAGCTATTCCCAGGACCTCTGCACCCCACAGGTCGATTCATCCCGCTCCATCGCTCTTCCCCCCCTTCCCCCCCCCCCACAGGTCAGTGCAATGCGAACCTGCTTGACTTTGACAAGTCGTCCCCCCTGCACCTGGCTCTGGAGGTGGGGGACGAGGAGCTGGTGGAGAGGCTCCTCCGCGCTGGAGCCAATGCCGACCAGTGCAACCCGGACTTCAAGTAAGGGCGAGAGGGGGGGAAGGGGGGATGGAGGGGGGAAAGGTGGCGAGGGGTTGTGGACTGGAGGGCGGCTGTGCTGGTGCGCGGGTGCAAAGGTGTCATATGAGTATGTGTATGTATGTATGTATGTATGTATGTATGTATGTATGTATGTATGTATGTATGTATGTATGTATGTATGTATGTATGTATGTATGTATGTATGTATGTATGTATGTATGTATGTATGACTTAGATTACACTGTGGGCCGCGAGAGCCGGGGGCCGAAGCCGAAACACAGCGCAAGGGTCGGGAGCACACAGCACAAGTCGGTTAGTCTTGTGTGCTCCCGACCCCGACTCAGACTGCCAACACTCTACGCAGCCACTCCGCAGCCCCTCCATCCGGGGATGGCGCTGCATTGAATACACCACGAAGGGCTCTCAGGTCCCGCTAGAGCGAGTCCACAAGTCTCAGCTAGGGCAAAGTCAAAGGCTCTCTGAAACAACCCCCCAAAACACCACCAACGAAAACGGGATTCGAAGGGAAAACAAACAAACAAACAAAAATTCGGTTAGGGCAGTCCCGGCAGGGGAGGGCTCCTGATATACCTAACAGGCCAACAAAAAACCTCCAAGAGAGAAAGGCTAAGAGAGCTCGACACCACAAGACGTCTTGCAACCACCTTAAAACAACTGACCTCCACCACCTGTCCCTTCCTGGGCTGGTCCAGGGGAGAAGTAGCCTTATAAAGAAAAGGGATCCCGCACGAGCCTGATCACCACTGCAGGGGCCCGGGATAGTCCGGCGAAACGACCAAAGCGTTTGCGTTGCCACGACACACAGCTCCTAGACCCTCCAGAAAACCGCAGGGGGAGGATTGTAGCCCGCGCGGCGCCTCCCCCTTACCGCCACTAACCTGAACGGTTAGTCCTCCAGAAACCTATTCACCCTGTCTCGTACTGCACCGCTCTCACCTTCGTCCCTCACCAAGCAACCCAGTCCCACAGAGAAGACGTGTCTAAATAGAATGGCCCTCCTCGGGCCACACCTCCCCCTCATCCGAGCCCCGCTACCACCACCAGACCTCAACCTCCCAAACACCAGAAAACCTACGTCCTTTTGGCGCTCTCACCGCCATCTCCCCCCTCCCCTGTCCGAGCGACCCCACCTCCCCCCGGCTCTCCAGCACCCTACAACCTCGGAGTGGCAGTATGTATGTATGTATGTTGTTACAGGGTGGTTAACTTCGCCAGCGGCCCCCTTTCCCGGGGCAGTCCCTGCTCTCCCCTGCTAGAGGGGCACCCTAATCCGTCACCCCATCCGACTTCAGAATGTATTCGTTGGGTTCGGCAACTCACCACCAGCATCCAACCAAATCTAGCGGATCAACGGCGCATCAACTTAGTTCCTGGTCAGCTCGCAAGTTGATATTATCACGTCCTACATCGTCCATATGATGGGGGGGCACCTCCCAATTCAACACTCCTCAAACACCCGAGGAGCCGGCAGGCGGATTTGAACCCGGGTCGGCCGGGAGCAGAAGTCAGGCCTTAACCTCTGCCAGCCGCCTGCCAATGTATGGATGTACGGATGTACGGATGTACGGATGGATGGCCCGCGCCAGGGAGCCGCAAGCGGGGAACCCTCCAGGGTGTATTCACGTGCACATGCTGATTGATTGGTGTGCTCTTTATTTTTGCGTGGTAAGTGCGTCCACGTGTGTGCTCCGTGCCGTACACTTGACGTACCCTTCCGATGCTGTGCCTTTCCCCCCTCTCGCGCAGAACGCCCCTCCATCTCGCCGCCAGTCGGGGGAAGCTCTCCCTGCTGCAGCTGCTGATCGAGGTATGTATGATGTGTGAAACAGGGGGGTGTATCTTCACCCGTGGCTGCTACCCGGCGAAACCCTGCCTTCCCCGGTATTTCGGGGCACCCTCATCCAGTCACCTTAGTCAACTTCTCAGTGGATCGCTCAGGTTCCGCACCCACCACCAGCATCCAACGGAATCTGCCGGATCGACGACGGCCCAACTCCATTCCTGGTCAGCTCGCAAGATAACTTTACCCCAGGTCACCACCACCGTCCATCACCTAGGGGCGCAATACCTTCCACCATCGGAAGGATTTTCGACCCTGACAGGTCTCGATCCTGGGATCTCCGGGGGGGAATGGTCTGTGCCCTACCAAGAGTGGCTAACCTGTATGTATGTATGCATGTATGTATGCATGCATGCATGCATGCATGCATGTATGTATGTATGTATGTATGTATGTATGTATGTATGTATGTACGGGTTTACTAAACACACGCACACGGACGGGCAGGTGGGTCGTGCCAACGTGCCCGCGGCGGTGTCCGAGGACGGCTGGACGCCTCTGCACCTGTCGGCCCGCTCGGGCGCCGCCGACAAGGTGGCCCTGCTGCTGGCGGCCGGGGCCCCGGTGGGGGCGACCAACAGCGGCGGCAACACGGCGCTCCACCTGGCCGCCCTCAACGGCCACGGGGCGGTGGTGCGGGTGCTGCTGGATGCGGGCGCGTGCAAGGCAAGTACAGGCGGGGAGAGAGGGAGGGGGAGGAGAGGGTGTGCGCTGTGTGTGTCGTCTGTGTCGGTGGTGGTGGTGATTGGGGGAAGAAGGGGGTAAGAAGACGAAACACAGGCGAATAAAGCAGATACCACCAGAGATAGACGGATAGCCCAGGAGAAGTGTCGTTGGGTGTGGGGGGGTAAAGCTCTGAGGGGTGCCCCCTCCCGCATGCCTCCTCCCCCCCCGCCCACACCGTGTTCCTCCAATTCACGCGGATCATCCCCGTTCTTCTCTCCACTCTCCCCCTACCTACGTGCCTCATACCGTATCACCCCACGCCCCATGTCACCCCACCCACACCGCATCAGAATGTTGAAAACCGGGAGGGCAAGAAGCCCGCGGATATGGCCAAGACGGAGGAGCTGAGGTCGCTGCTGGCCGTGTGAAGACGGGGTGGGGGCAGTGGGACTTGAGAAGGAAAGGGGGGGGTAAGGAGGAGGGGGGGGTTTCTGCCAGCTGCTGGGCGTGGATACGGCTCTTCTTAAAGGACGCAGCACTGCACCTGCCAGGAGGAGGACGAGGAGGAGGAGGAGGAGGAGGAGGCTGCTACTGCTACTGCTACTGCTTTGTTGGTGCTTTGTTGGTGCTGTTTGGGGTGCGTCGACGTCTGCATGTCTTAGTTGTCGGCAGCGGCGGCGGTGGTGGTGGTGGTGGGTGGTGGTGTGCGGTGTGTGGCGGGCCGGGTGTGATCCTTCCTTGGATGAGTTGCTTGGTGACTGCTTGGGTTGGGCAGGAGGAAGGCCTTGTTGACTACTGGGCTCCGTTACAGGCTGTTGCCTTATTGCTACTCTTCTGATGGTTTGGTTGCGATGTTGTTGATTGTTGGTGGTTAACGGTTAGCTCTTCCATGCGGCAGTTGTCCATGCGGCATTGTTACTGTATATTTCTAACCAACCTTTGAAGTGGATCAAGGCACAAATGAAAAGAACAAAACAGGAAGGTACAAAAATGATCACTGGACATAATAAACTCCAGGAAATTCCGTCAGGGAAAACGAACTGCGCTCATGGGTGTAATAATTTGTATTACAAGCACCGCCTGTAGGGCCCCAAAGAACCAAAAATAACCATGATCCATCCAAGCTGGAAACAAAAAGCATCACAACGCATTGACTCTGCGTATATAGCTCGGTTGATAATGGGAGTCGTACGACGAAACTATTCAGTTGAAGGATACTGAAGGAGCAGTCTGCGCAGACTCATGTGTAAACCCTGTTCGTCACGAAGATTTGTGTCTGTCGATATGAGAGCTGGATTACATTCATGCAGGTCGACAGCGGCTCATGTTCAAACACGTGCAGTCGCTGTGCCTGGCGCTGCAGCATTAGCAGTTAGACCCCATCCAGTTAGTGGCCAAGCTCAGGCCTTAGTTGTTTGCCATATCGGGGTATGCCCTCTTCACTTGAACGACGCATGTGATTATGTGCGCCTCGAACCCCCGCTGGCGCTGCGTAATCAACATGCATCAAAATTCAATCTTCGAAACGTACACGATGCGGCGTATGATAGCCACAGCGGACTGGTGCTCTTTGCGCATGGCACCAGCATTTACGGCATGGACTCCACCAACCGTGTCGCACAGCTGGCAGGCGATGATGAGGGAGGATTATTATTTGATGGTATTGCTGCTGAAGCGCGCTTTATCGGCGCGCAGCGGATTGCAGCGGACGGCCATGGCGTGACCTACATCCGCGACCGTGACTCCGGTTCACGCAACGGTTTCTGCCTGAGAGCGCTTTATGAAGCCACCATGCCAAATAGCTTAATTGGATGTGGCGTGCGCGCTGTTGTCTCCGTGAACACTGGAGGCGACATGGGCCCACATGTTCTAACCTACGACAGTTGGCGCCGCACCCTTTTGTTTGCGACGCGTGGACGGGCCATTCATCAGCTGCTGTCGTACGGAATAACCGAGGAGCTTGTCGGCACGGATGAGCCAGCCGCTCCTTACGGCGTGGGCGCCGCGGCGGCCGCCGCGTCCTCCAGCTTCGACAGCTCCCAGGATGCCACTGTGTACGGAGACCTTAACCGAAACGGTCTAACGGCCGTGGCAGCGGCGACGGCAGTAACGGCAACGCAGCTGCTGCCGCCGTCTCCAGACTGTAAGGCGCCCCTGACAAACGTACAGGCGCTGGCTGCCGACGGATCGAGTGGAAATGTATATTTTCTTGACGGTACGACTGGGTCCAAAACCATGCTGCGTGTGCTGCGGCCCAACGGTAGCCTGGAGACTTTGGAGGAGCAACTCCGAATAGGGCCGTCAGGCAATTCCCGTTGGCCGCGCCTGGCTGTGTTGCCGTACGGTTACCTGGCCGTGTACGGCACGTCAAGTCACGAAATGATGCTCCTCAAACTTTGAGAGGGATTAACCCGGACCGTGTGGCCCCACCACGAGGCGCTGCCAATGGGTGCGCCCCACCCGGAGCTGCTCTCGCCCATAGTGCCCCGGCTGCTGTCAACATAATGCCGCCCCCTCAGCGCCATGTTGCTTGGGCGCCCTGTCATACGAACCATATGTACTTATCTATATACGGTACGGGTACGGCCGATAGCTACACGTGATGTACAAGTATTTGTGGTGTGGTGGGTTCGCTGACAGCAGGAGATCCAGGAGGTAAATGTTTTACCACCTCGCGGGGCCCAATGTTGTGCGGTAGTAGCAGCAGGCAGTAGTAGCAGCAGTAACAGCAGTAGCATACGGGGGACAATGTTCGTTGCGGGAAGGGATATTACTGTAAGAGGTAGCATCGAAATATTGTTTTGTTAAGCTAGGTAGCCAGTCGGCTTAATGGAGAGGTGTGGGCGTTCATGACCGGTCAAAGCTGCGATTAGTCCAGGTGTGCTCCTTTCTCTCTCCCTCTCTCTCCCGACACACTGAATGAACGGGGGCGGGTATGTCGCATTGGATCCGACTAGATCCAACGTTGATTTGCTGTTGGCGACAGTCCTTCGACCTGGAACTGGAATATATATGTTGTTACAGGGTGGTTAAGTATATATGTATGCGCAGCACACCTCTCCCCATCGCAATCACCATGCGGTTATAATTTTCCTGTCCAAACGGGGAGAGGGTGAGGCTCCAAGGCGTACGGCAAAGTTCTTTCATCTTTTCGGGAAGGACGGGACGGAATTAGCGGCGAGGGGGGGTTTTGACATCCTCTCACCTCCCTCTACCTCTACCGCTAATCTCAGAAGCCTCTGCATGCAAGTAGTGCCCCGCGGCAGGGCATATTTCAGAGAGAGGGTCTGACGTAATAGAAAGAGGGCCTGACAATGCCGCTGTGTTGCTCCACAGACCTATACAGGCGGTACCTAGGCTGAACGGGTGGTATACAGGCATTTGACTTGTACCTACTGGACTGGCGGTACGGACAGTACGGCCATTTGCACGGCGGTACGGGATATAAGCGTGGATCGCAGGTTGGTGTTTTTACTTGTGCCGTGCCAAGATTGTAATAGCCCCCAGCATATGTCGGCGCCTCACTACTTCCCGTTGCGCCGTGGTTGACCTGTCTGACGACTACCAACCCCGCTACAGTACTTTACATTGGGGCATATGTCAACAAGGAACATTGTGGATGTGAACGCCCTGCATACGACTGTGATACGTGGGGATGCGGTACGGCAGCTCTGAAACCCGTACATGCCAGCCCAAGACGTGCAATTGATTGTTAACAATAAAACACGCGATAAAGACCAAGCATGGAAGAAAGTGGAGTTCCCTATTGAACAAAAAAACAGGGAGAGCGTAAAGAACCTGGCTTACGTTCCAACACGTTGTCCAGCTCGTCGTCTTAAAAGACAAAATCTTTGGATCCGTCCTGACAAGCCTTCTGCTTGTCCGGTCCTGTCATGTCCTGATATCTGTGAATAAACCCACGCCGCGCGAGCTTTCACAACAAACTGATCCCCTAAGAAACTACTAAACCGCGTTACAAAGCTCCCTGATGCTGCTGACACAACCCTAACCCTACGTAGCCACCAAACCGAGACTTCAGAGCGACATCAGCCCTCAGCCCCCAGTGCAGCCACTACACTACAAAAAGCCATCTACACTATGCACTGGGAAAGCGAATGCAACGTACTATGGCGCACGACCTGGCGCCGCTCTTGCTGTCTACAACTGAAAACGAACAACTCGAGTTCAACACCGGTCACCGGTCGAGGTCCGCACGCCGCCGGTATACTGAGAGAGGCTATTTAGACCCATTCCCCCCCTACACAAGGATTGACCGGGTCCGAGGCACGAACGTACATACACACACATACATACACATACACGCCTGTCGTGATGTGATGTGCTGTAGCTGCATCTGTAGCTAGGAAAGCAGGAAAAGCCGGTAGCCAGTAAAGAAGTCGGCCCGAAGCCAGGTCGAAGGTCACCCCATGAAACATCCCTCCCACCCAAACTGGAAAAAGAAGCCTCCACTGGAAAAATGCCCAATCCCCCACTCCCCACCCCCCACCCGCACTCCCACCGCCTCACCGCGCACTTCTTCAATCTCACCCTTGGTGCCATAACACCTCCAACTCACGATGCGCCAGGCACCTCGCCAACCCAACCGCTTATGTGCCCCCATCCGTATCCTCCTGTAGCAACTATTTCCCCATCCCCCCGGCACAATCATCCCCCGCATTCAAGACCTAGCCAGGCCCCGTATGTATGTCCTAGGGCGACGGGAAGCCGCGTTGATCCCAAACCCACACGCTTTCATCCCACCCCGCGCTCGCAACCAGCCCCTCCCGCAGCGTCGAAAAGTCAATGCCCACCGCAAACTCCGAGTGGTGATCCCAGGACCTCAGAGGCACACCCTGGGCCGCCTGAGGTGATGACGTGTCCCAGAGCTTGACCGTCATGTCGTACGAACATGACATGAGTAGGCTTTCGGCGTGAGGCGAGAACAGCACGCGGCGTACGGCATAGCTGGTGGCAACAGCGGTTGGTTTAGCGGTGGCGGTGGCGGAGTTCGAACCGGGTGCCCAGGGGGTTGGTCCGGCCCAGGGCCAAGACCGCGGGTAGGGCGAGACCGCGGCAGGGGTGGGTGGTCAACACCGGGGGGTGGGTAGGTGGGTGGGAGACCGAGGAAAAGAGGGGAGAGGGGAATTGATCAGGACAATGGCCGGCTAGAGAGCCACAGAGGCAGGAGCGGGGGGGGCCATGGGGAGGACGACGACTCCAAGAGAGATCAAGGCACGGGGTTTGTAGTGGTGTCTTTCAGCGGGGACGTGGGGGAGGGGTATGTCACCGGTGCACCGGTGCGGCAGGGGGGTGGGAGATACCTGCAGAACAAAAATACCCGCACCGCCACATATTTGCAAATATACCTCAAACCCTCAAACCCAAACCCCCATCCAGTCCCTCGTTTCACTACCATTCCGCATACCCGCAGTCACGCGCCTTTGTTGAAACGCACTTCATCATCAGCAACTTCAACCCCAAAAGGTGTCAGGAATACCCTTCAGTCATATACGGCACAGTCTCATGGAGATGTTAACGGCACCCCATTCGCCAAGCCGGCATCCCGGTAGTCCCGGCCCCATCATTTCCCCCCCCTTCCCACTCCCCCACACACACCCCAGGCACCCACCTGTGGCCCATCATCATGAGCAGCTCCCGACCAGGTGCCCGCACGTCCCACAACTTAATGGACTTGTCCACACTGCCCGTGGCCAGCAAACAGTCGTTGTACTTGCACCAGTCCGCGGCAAGAACCTGGATAACAGGTAACATAGCAATTATATACATTATCCGTAAACACAAGCACAAACTTGATGAAATATCATTCATTTATTCATGCATTCACGCGTCAGGATGTTCGGGGGGGTGGGACCGAGTACGGGACTGTAAAACGTACTTGAGCGCACGTGCATGCGCAACTCTGATGATTTAAATGCTTAACACGAGCGCGCACACGTGTGTATCTGCTTATCCGCGTCCATCTTCCTTTTTCTCCAAAATTTCCGTACAGCGTACGGCGTACCTCAAACCCATGCGCGGGCAGTACAAGGGTGGGTGCGGGCTGCCTGAGGTCCCAAACCCGCACGGTGGTGTCTCCGGAGGCGGACAGAAACACCTCGGGTTGCTGGGGATTCCTGCGGAGGCGGGGGAACACGGGGGGGAGCGGGAGGGAGATAATCTCACCATGGTCTGCTCTAAAGTTTCTGTTACCTCTGAAAAGCTGAAAGGCCGTGAACGGAAAGAATGAAACACCATTATTAACAAGGACATTACTTTCAGAGCAAGGCAAAAAGCCTTATCCCGGCCTGCCCCCGATATCCGCCATGCTCTACCCCACCTCACACCCCACCTCACACCCCCCCTCACACCCCCCCTCACACCCCATCTCACACCCCACCTCACACCCCACCTCACACGCCCGCCGAACACCTTTGCACTGACACCTCACCAGGCGGCATGGTAGGCGCAGTACGTGTGTCCGCTGAAGGTCCTCAACGACGCGGGGGCCTGCAGCGTCCAGAGCTTGACGGAGTCGTCCCACGAGGAGGAGAGAAACAGGTCCCGCTTGGCAGGATTCCAGGCTAGTGAGCAGCACTGGAGGAGGGGGGGTTGCGTTGTCGGGTGGGTGGGGGGGAAATACCAGGTCGCCGTAAATTGCAAGAAGCGGGGCGCACCGCCCGCAGCAGCCAACGGAGGTGACGACGCTCCTAGGGGCCGACTTCGAACTCAGGAAGGAGCCCCTCACGCCGCCATCCAACACCCGACCCATATTCGGTGGATTTGGTTCAGCTACGCGCCACCCCGCATCACGGCCCAGGTGCTCAGAGAGCGGACCCAACCCGTGGAAAGCAATGACCCACATCCCACCCACAGAAAAACCACCCAGCCCAGCCCAGCCCAACTCCACCTACCCAGCACAATCCAGCCCAACCCAAGCCTCTACAGTACTGTATATCAATGCCACTCAGCCCCAAGTGAAGCCATCGTTTTTACCTACTAAAACATTACTACGCGAATCCAAAGTATCGGCACTAAGAAAAACCAGTCGTGAAAAACAGTCATGCGTTCACTGCGCCCTGCCCTGGCCTGCCACATTGCATAAAGGCAACCACACTTCAACACAACATTCCCAAGTTCATTTGTTCATTCCTCTGCGGCACCACAAGAGCCTCCACTTCATATAATATTGGGTCGTTGGTATCGTATAGTAACAGTTTCATGCAGTACAAAAGCACAACACAATAGCGCCGTTTCCCCGCACTTCACTCTCACTTCCTCTTATTCGACCTTTTCCTTTTGTTAAACGGTGACGCTTCACACCACTCGAGTTTACTGCGCTTGATGTGGCCACAAACGTACAAATGGCGAATTAGATCCTAGATTCCCAAGTGTCATTTCTAGGAGGAGATTTCGCGACCTAACCCCCCCTACCCTACCCTGCCCGCACCTCGTGACGGTGCTCCTTGAAGACCCGTACGGGATTGGCGGCCGGCGGCAGTGCCGTGTCGTACACCTTGATGGACCCGTCCCCCGAAGACGCTACCAGGACATTCTCGTTGGCTTCGCTCCAAGCGCAGTCGTACAACCCGTCCTGCGTGTCGTACTGGGCGACCTCCACAATGGCGCCGAATGGGGTCACCTGTGCGTGTGAGGGGGGAAGGCGGGTGGGGGTTTGGAAGGCAGGGGAATGGGAACTGGGAAGGCATGGCGAGGAGAGGAAGCAGCACGGGAGGACTTCTTGGGATCCGGGCCAAACCAAATGCCGAAAACCGAATGGCGACGGGGAAAGAAACATGCCGAGGCGAGGCGGGTTCGGGGTAGAAAAGAGAATGAGTGGGAACGATGGGAGGGGTAAAAACAGAAAGCAGAGAAACACGGGAAGACAAGACGGAGGGAAAGCCGACATGTTTGCGGCAAGGACTGGGGAGGAGCCGAGATGGTTACGCACAAAAAAAATAAGCGAACGTACCCCGCCCATGGTTTCACGCGCTCCATAAGGCGGTTTCTTACCTCAAACACATATTGCTTGCCATTCCCGATGATGCCAAAGTTTTGAGCAGTGGCAACGGCTATGCGACCTTCGATAAAGGGGCTAAATTTAACTGAGTATGCGTTGAAGGCCGTCCTGCAGCGCCCCATTGCGCCAGGACGGCCAAAGCAGAGCTGGTGAGTCTCGGCCTAGGATGGCGGAAGCTCCTCTTCCGTCGTAATCTCGAAACAACCCGAAGGGAACCCTGAAAATGTATATCAACCAAGCCTTCGCGCTATGTTGCAAAAAGAAATTAAAGGTGTTGTCAGCTGCCGTGGAGACACAGACGTGTTACAACTGACGGATTCCCAGGTTGCAGGCAGCACACGAAAAAGAGGCTACGAAGGAATAACCAACGGAAACATATCGTATGTGACGATTGCAGACGGTAGGGAACGACGAGCCTGTGGCACCGTGCATGCGGTTTCCGGGATTGGGCCGTACATCGGCGTGAAAGGCTGAAAGCTAGTGGCATCATGGACATAGGTTGGAAACCTATCAAAGCTTTCTTTTCTGGAACCGATATTTAGTCCGATTAGTGCATTACAAGGACACTATTTGGGGACTGGCCTCAGGACGAGTGCTTTCCTCGGGGCCGAACGCCGAAAGGCAGATCATTGTATACACATCCCCCAAGTGCCCCGGTGCAAGTTATTTTAAATAAAGCCTCGAACCTCAACTTCACCAGCCTTTGGGGTGGCTTTTGGCGGGCACTTCAGCAGCTTTCAACTCATCGCGTGTGCTATGGCAAAGGATCTGCTGGATCACATTGATTTTTCATCATTAGAATGCTTGAATGAGGCCCCCAACCACGGAGCTGCTTTGGCGATGAAGCAGGGCTACCGAGAGCAGGACGAGCTGTACTTGGAATCGGACACAGACGAGCAGCTGCTGCTCAACATCCGCTTCACGCAGCGTGTTCGCCTGCAGAGCATCGTCATTAAAGCGATTGACGAGGCTAAGGCACCCAAGCACGTGAAGCTATACACAAACCGGCCCAGCTTGGGGTGAGGACAGGAGAGAGTTAGGGTTCCATATCAAAGCCGGGGAATAGGGCCCGAGCCTTCATATCTGCGTCGACACCTCCTGTTCCTGCACCGGAAGTCTTGCAACCTTAGTCCGCCTTGAAATGAGGGGGGGGACCATGCATATGCAGGGGCCCCCCTGAGGCCACAGAGAAGGGAAGGTGGAGAAGAGTAGGAGGGACATCTTCTGAGCTATCTGGGCGGCTCGGGAAGCGCGGATGATGTGGTTTGGTTTTCCTAGAGTAGCAACGGGCGCTTGTATTGCGATGTGGGTCAGCTGATTTCAGCTCGGGACTCTTGGATTTGTGGTTTTCCGAGGCCACCCCGTACGCATGCGCTAGAGCTGGAGCACAACCTTCCTCCCTGTCAGCGAGCCGCTGGGCTGCCGCACCCAGGCGACCAACCGTATGCAACTCCTTTCTGTTGTGGTCGAAGTCCTCCACACATAATCACATGACCAAATTGGCGGCGGACGTCCAGGAAGCTGCACGGTTTCCCGAAAACACAAACACTGCGCGACTGCTGCACTTCAACCAAATCCTCCATGCGCCCTCATAACGATTGCCAACTGTTGAGTTCCGTTTCACGCAGTTTTCCCAATATCCGATTTTTGGCCAACTGCTTATGCGCCCAGCGGGATGTGCACAGATGAACCTTTTTTCAGCTAAACCACGTAAACGCTTTCGCCGCTCACACCCATCCCCACCTCGCATGCGGCCAAACCCCCACCGCCTTCCGTCCTCCCCCCCCCACAGGTTTCCCCGCCGATACGGACTCTTTGCAGCTACATACCGCCCCTTGCGTAAGAATTGCCTATCCGTAAGAATTGCCTCCCCGCTGATCGGACCTAACTGTACCTGAATCGACCCGGGCCCTTCCCCCCCCCCCCGCGATTCCTGCGGTGCAGGTTCAGTGACACTTCCTCAGTGCCCTGTGCCCAGGAGCTTGACCTAACGCCGGCCCAGCTGGCGAAGGGCGACCCCATCCCCCTCAAGCTCATGAAATTCAACAACGTGGACGTTCTCAGTAGTAAGCATCGCGCTGCGTTTTTTTTATCCGTGGCGGCAATGTCGTCTTCGTTTGCACTTGCTTGTCACCACGCCGTCCTTCGCGTATTAGCTCTCCGCTTGCATTTGGTATTGAGTCCCACGTCTCCTGCCTGGTCTCTTCTGTGTGACCTTTTTCTCTTGCTGACGCGGCCCGCATGCGCTTTTTGCCGCCTGCCTCCTACCATGTGCCCGCTGTCCGTGGCCTTCTTGTCGGTGCGTCTATGAGCCAGTCTTTATTGAAGACAACCAGGAAGGCGAAGAGACGACCAAGCTCTGCAAAATCGCGTTGTTCGGCACTACTGGGGAGGTCTTCAACGTGGCAGAAATTAAGAAGGTGGAGGAGAAGTGAGGAGGGGGCGGCTCTGCGACATGGACGTGGTAGCATGCCGTGTGCGCGTTCGCAATCATGGCGATGGTGCGCTATGCAACAGTATGCAAGTATGATGAAAACGGCACTATCGCGCGCGTGCAGCCAACGATTTGTGGTTGGCCGTAGCAGGTTCCGGAGCTGCGGAAGGTGAAGATAGCCAGGGTGGATGGGTGGAGGTGGTGAAGGGGGTGGAGTCGCCTGGCCTGGCCTGGCCTGAAGGCCCTGGCCCGTTGATGTTGGCGTTAGGAGGGGCTCCGTTATTACGTCTGCAAACATTAGCTTATGGACATAATTTATGGGCATGGTCGGGGTTGCCGCCCGTGATGTGTGTTGACAGGCGGGTTTGTGCCTGTCCTGTACGGCCAGGACCTGGCCAGGAGGGGGGAAAACAGGTTATTATGTTTTCCTGCGACGCGGTGTGTTGGTAATTGGTGATTGGCTATCGATTTGGATACCTTCGGGTCGCGTCAACCTATCGGCCTGTTCACGCTCGTCATCTCAACATGTGGCTAACAACGAACGCGCATATGCCCCACCCGGGGGGACGTAGGCTGGCTGCCATCTCATGCTTGTAGATTGTATCGTGTGGGTGGGTGGCAACGTAGACTATTCTGGTTGTGGCTAAAGATTCGTTCGCTGCTTGAGACACCAAACAATTAATGTTCAATGCTGAAGGTGACTTTGGGTCTGAAAAAATAAGTCAAAGTCTGGACGCGTTTGCCGTACACTTCGATGTACGCTGCCTACGTTGCAATGGACGGAAAATGTGCGTTCAGGTACTTGAGAGTCTGGTTCAGATTCTAAGCCGTTCTCCCAGGACCCCGTGGAATCTTAATCTGCCGTCTACCCGCTCCCCACTGCTGTTTGCTCAGTCATAAAGATGTTACTCCAAGACCGGCAAAGGAGTGATGTACCTCTTTAATTTTGTTCGTCATATGCCTCACTGCCATCTTGAGGAGGAACTCCCTACCGCCAAACCCTCTTCAATGACTTCTTCACCATTAGAGAATTAAGCCATCCGGTGCACTATTACGTTAACGATTTTGTCTGCACGGAGTGTGCCGGCCAGCGTTTTTCTTTTGCGGAATATAATCCGAATTCGGAATAAAAAATTGTTCGCGTTCCTGAAAATTAAGAATAAATAATGTTCCGACCGTACAAGTTCATTCCTCCAGCCTCATTCCGGTCTGTGTTTGCTTGGGCCCTGCAACAGCAGTCGCCCGTGCAACCGGGGTTCCTGTCAAAGCGTCCAAGTGCCCCCCGCTTCCTGGCGTGCAAGAGGAGCGATTGTGGTGTGCGCGTGTTGTGACATTCCCCAACCCCTGTGTTTGTACGAACTAAATTATAACTTATGGGGGGGGTCTGGGGGGGGCGTAGCCCCCCCCAGCGCCTTAAAGATTCGGAATACTTTTATTCCCGCGACTAAAAATCTATTCCTCCGTTCGGACTGGAAAATTGACGGGCAAAAATGAAAAAAAACTGGTGCCGGCCATCATGCATATATGTAAACGTCCCGGACCCCTAGGGACCCCGATATGTACGACACAGGACCCGGTATTTGGCTGGGTATCTAGGTCTTAGGGGTCCCAGGCAAAACACTGGGGTCCTGGTGAAGCAGCTGCCCGCGTACGAAAATTATATATAGATGTGGAAGGTGCCGAAGTACGTCGGTGAAACATAATGTGGCAGGATATTGTGAGTGTAGTTGAAGCGTTACAAGGCGTTCGGCGCACGGGCGAATTTACGTGCATACCTTTCATCGTGGGCGCGTCCCGTTGCAAGCTAAGCAACGCGTATACATGACGTGTAGCATCAGTCCTCAGTTCACTTCTTGTAACGAACATCAGCATAGGTTCAAGCCCTCTCGCTTGGAGGGATATGCAAACAAACATCATGATAGGTAAACTCGCACGCTACCACGCTGCGAGCAGTCCTTGTAAGGAGCAGCATACCACCCAAAACGCTGGTGTCGGTATGGGCACCAGCCGCTGTTCGCACAAGAGTATCCCACGGACATGTATGCAATGTTAAGTGCGTGGGTGCCTAACAACAGCCAGTGCTCTATGACCACAACGGTAGCGCAGAACGCGCCAAGACACCATCCGTTAAGTGCCAGGTCGCGGGTCGCTCACTCGGCATCGTAAGCGTCAGTTGGGCGGTCTCTTGTAATGCGGCGGCGGGCGTGTGTGCGGTACCAGCACGTTTTTGGGTCATCGTGTAGAAGGTCGGGCTGGCGGAAGGAGGCCCGCGCAGCACATTGTAGCCGTCCGGCCCAAGGCAGTTATACTGAGCAATGTAGAACGCCTCCATCTTATCGGTGAGTCTTGGATTCGCGGTGGACATGAGGCATGTCAAGTGGAAGTGGTCCCGGAAGGGTTGGTAGAGGCGGACGTCGTCCTTCATTCGGATGGGTGGGGCACAGGCATGAGCGTCGAAGCGCCGTTGAGGATTCTTGGATTGGCCGACGTACACCCTTCCAGTTGGTGCGCACGTGATGGTGTAGAGTCACGTGCAGGGGGGCCATACGAATCGGGCGCGGCCAGGCTGGCGGCCGGACGTTTCGTTGGCGTCGTAGGAAGGAGGGCGCCCGACGCTCGCGCTTGTGCTGCGGTGGTTAGCACCGAGTGTGCGAAGTCTTGGTCTGCGGCCAGGACGGTGGTGGCGTCCATGCCGTAGTCATATATTAGAGTGATGGCCGTATCGGCGCGGAGGCTGCCGGCAGCCGCGATCCACAGCTGCATAACGGCCGCGTGCGTGGCCGTTGCCCTGTCCGGCGTGTCCCCCTCGTGGATTGCCGCGGTGATGTTGTACAAGTAAGCTGCGTGCATACATGACATTTGCCACTACTGTGGACAGCCTGGTCACTACGTTCGCGAATGCCCCGTTAGGCTGGCGAATGAGTCCGTCAGTCTCTACCGCAGCAACGCATTCGAGCAGCCATGCAGTGCCGGCACCGGCAGCAGTGGCAGCGGCAACCGCCATCGTGATGGTGGCGGCGGAGGCACCGGCAGCGGCAATGTCGGTAACAGCAGGGGCGACAGGGCACGTGAACGTGGCTGTGTTAGACACGGCAACGGCCACCGCAACGGCGGTGACACTGCAGGCTGCTTCCGCCTGCAGTGTCGCTGGCGGAAGCAGTGGCAGCGGCTCAGGCAGCAGCGGAAGAAGCTCACGCCAGAACCGTGCCACGGTGCTGGTCATCGACGACAGCAGCTCACGGGTCGTCCTCGACTCTGGCTTACCGTACCTCCTCAGGGGTGACCGCCTCCCTGCTGCATGACTACGTCCCCGCCGGCACACCACAGCAGATCAAGTGGGGCAATAACCAGCTGGCCGATGTGGTGGGAACAGGGGAGCTGCACCTGCGGACGCGCGACGGACACTACGCTCGGGCCTCACTCTGATGTCTGTCGACCTTCTCATGACGCGCGGCTGCTTGGTCACGTTCGGCACGGACATGACGGGCCGCCGGTTCTCGTGTGTAGGGCTCCCGTACAACAGCTCGTCTATCACTGCATGGAACGAACGTGGACATTACGTCATGGACGTGGACCTGCTGGCGCCGACCAAAATCACAGTCAACATGCTCGGCACCACGGGAGACAGAGCTGGCGGAGGTAGTGGTGCTGGTGGAAGTGCCACCGACGCCCCCAGCACCCGCGGTGGCAGCACTGCCAACAGTAACACCGGCGGAGGCCAACCGAACAGCGACAGCAACGACAAAGGGCAACTGGGCAATGGGAGTCCCGGCGCCGCCGAATGCTCAGTTGCCGAACTCGCGGCAGCACAGCACCTGCACCGCCAGTACGGCCACTTAGGTTACCACATGCTGGAGCAGCTGATCAGCAAGCAGCTGGTGCAGGGACCACAGGTCACTCCAGCGGCACTATGACAGGCGGCGGAGGCCGTCTGCGAGGCCTGTGTCACCGTGAAGGTTACGGCAACAGCCACTGCAACCGCCCACCGCATCCTCGTCGAGGGCAAGGTGACGGTAAGCAGCCATGTTACCTTCAACGATGATCACCATGGACCGGTGTTGCAACGGGCGGGCACCGCCTTCGGCACCAGCCCCGCCCGTCCCGGCAGCAGCGACCCCCTCAGCGGCTCTACACCGTCTGCCATGCTGCAGGCTCCAGTGGACGCCCCACCCCCGGCGACCCCAGCACTACCTCTCCGTCCCAACACCCGCAGTCACCGGCAGGTCCTGCACCCACTGCTGGCCCCGGTCAGTGACAGACAGCCCCCCGACAACAGCAGCAGTGGCGGCGGCAGGGTGTCGGGAAGTCCACCGCTGCTTAACAAAGCGTCGGGTGGTAGCACCGAACGCGCTGAGTTTAACGTGCCTGACGGCAATGGTGGTGGCGGAGGCAAACAGTGCAGGGTCAATGTTTGCGCCCACCACGCATGCAGCCTCCCTGCGGGCACTTCTGGCTGTGGCAGCGGCCAGGGGTATGACGGTCCATCAGATGGACGTCAAAACGGCTTCCCTGAATGGCGACCTGGCAGAGGAGCTGTGGATGCAACAGCCGCTGGGTTACAGCAATGGCGACCCGATGCCGGCATGCCGGCTGTTATAGCCTGTCTACAGCCTCACACAAGCCCCACGTTGCTGGTATGAGAAACTGGCGGCGGAGCTAGGCAAGCTAGGCTACGAGCCGTCTATGTCCGACCCCGCGCTGTTTGTCAAGTGCGGGCCCTACGGCTCGACTTACGTGCTCGTGCACGTGGATGACATGCTGGTGGCAGCGGACAACCTGCAAATGGTCACGGCCGCCAAGGCGGCCATAGCTGCTTGCTTCGCAGTGCGTGATCTTGGCTAAGCACGCTCAGCCTCGGTAACAACCCCATCACATCGGTGCGCTCCGAGCACATCAACGTGCACCTCCATATCTTGCGCGAAAGGGCCGTGCGTGGTGAGGTGAAGCTCAGCTATTGCACCACCGACAACATGGTGGCTGACATCCTAACTAAGGCACTGGGCGACGTCAAGTTCCTGCGCTGCCACACAGCCTTTGTCACTTAGATCGCCAGAGGCTTAGTGCTGAGGGCTTTGAGGAATTGTGTCGAGCTAGGCTTTAGGGGGGTGTCGAGGGTGCATGAGCAGGTGCCCGAATGGGCAGGTCAATGCCCGAAGGGGCGCCATAGGCAATGTGTACGGTGCAGACGGCACTGTTTCCCGTGTGTGTGTTTGTGCAGCGACGCCAGACCGCAAAACCAACGGGCTGAAGGCTGGCAAGCTGCGTTTGTGTCTGCTGCAGCCGGCCTGGACCGCGGACTGGGCGGCCGAGCAAGCTCGTCAGTACTAGCAGTTTGCAGTCAGGCCCCTGGTGCGACTCCTGCTTCACTGCAGACGTTCCATAATTATAAGTTGTTTAGCAATATCAATCAGGATTCTTGAAAACGCGCTTACGCCCTGCTATTTTGCCTGGGGCCCCTAAGACCTAGATACCCAGCCAAATACCGGGGTCCGGTGTCGTACATATTGGGGTCCCTAGGGGTCCGGGACGTTTACATATACCCTGGTAACTTGCTTAGCCCTGCTGCCACACCACAATATGACATTCTTACTCTTCTGTACCACTGTGCCGAAAGCCATCTGGAATTCAAAAATCCCTGCGTCTCATAGCAATATTGCCTCGACAAACGTACCCAACACGCTTCCTGCGATGTCTTCATCCCGCCCTCCCCCCCCCACACACACCACTACAACCTAATAGGCTTGCCGTCTGTAGGAACCGAACCATTCATAAGTCCCCCGGACGTCCCTTCCTAAAGCCTCGGCAACAAGGGTAATGTGCCTGTTTCTACTGTAGATTCACCGCCGAATGCTGCTACTGCCTCGACATTCACCCAAGCACTTGCGCGCACACAAACTGCGATACACTCCACTCCGTCGCTATGATTGTCGTCGTCATCCACGAGCAGCTGCCATCGCCAGGGCCCACAGCCACACCACATAGACCGCAACGACGACAACGGCTCGTTCGCCGTAGGACAAAGAAAGACGGGATCCCCGTGTCAATCAATGTCTTTCGGTACGGTCGTTGCACTAACAATCAACATCACTGCCTCCAACGAGGACTCACGCCACTGCAACGTATGCCGCTTCCGTCCGACCAGCCAGTGGTATTCCCCAAGTCATATGCTACGAAAACACAGAACGAGAACGACGAGTCGACTCCTCCCGAAGCCGCAAGAACGGACGGACTTCCATTCGAGTCGGAGTCCGAATCCAACCAGGTTGATCAAAGCTTCCACGTAAAGCAAAGCCCGCACCAAACAAGCAACAACAGAGACACACACACATACACGTGACTATAGCAAATAGCATGAGCTCTCCATTACACTATAACTCGCATCCTGGTATGCTTTGACGACAGCTCCGTCAAACATCGCCTCAGACGTGGATATCTGGAGCCCTGCCACCATCGTTGGCAACAACGTACTGCGCACCGACCGGGTCGCACTGCGGCACTATGCCGACGCAGCATGACCCCTATCCGAAGCGAGAGAAGCCCAATGACCCAGTCCAGCTCGGCATGTCAATCGAGGTCAATTTAATAGCAGGTACAACGTGTCGAGCAAACAATACAGCCCCCAGGAAAGCCAGAGGCGGAGATAGAACACACCATGAGCCCACAGAGTGAAAGACACCCCCCCAAGCAGCGAAGCCCGGGGTCCGAGCCTTGCGCCCTGCGTCCCACTCACATCCCCTCCCCCGCTGTCCCAACCTTTTTTTCTCTTTCTTTGGCGCAGTGGCCTGATCTCTCGATCCGTGCGATGCGATCTAAGTTCGGGATATGCGTTTTGTTGTTATCGTCAGCATTGCTGCCGACGATCCGGAAAAAAGCCTCTATATTTGTCCTAAATAACCGTTCAGCCGCACCTGTACGCGGCCCCACTCATACCTCGAGGACCCGAAGCAGCCACAGCAGGGGCAGCAGCACACAAATCAGCGGCCAGCTACGGAGACATCCAGTCCAAGGTGCGACCCCATCTCAGGCCCCATCGGCCCCAGAATCAACGCTAAATCATCAGCACCCGCGCCTATCCAAGCAGCGAAACCACACACCCCGCACACACATCCCTGCGATAAACACCCTCCCGCTATCCGCTATGCTGCACGCTACTAGCACTTTCCATGCCAATTCCATGCCAATCCAATCCATGCCAATTTGGCCAAGCCCATGCATGCATCCTGGCGGGCAGGGGCCAGTGCACAAAACCGGACCGGTGCACAGAAATGAAAGGACACACCACACCGCACTTGGAAGGAAAATGAAGAAAGCGGTAACAAGTGATGCGCGCTCCTTGCGCCCACCGCCCCTTTGTTATACTTCCAGCCAAACATGACGTCAGCTAGACAGTCCTAACTACACTGACACACCCTCCTTAATCCGCCTCCCTCAAATCATCTCCCAGAAGCTATCTCCCCAATCGGCCTCCCGTTAGCTAAATCCTCCTCTCTGCCGCAGATCCGGCACATCCTCCGTAATCTGCTCCAGATTCCAGATCCCGCCTCCTACTGCTAGTCTTCCTCCTCCTCAGACCCTTCCTGGAGCCAGTTTCGCACTGCAGTGGCGGCTTTCTGGAACGCCGCCGTCGCCGCCGCCGCCGCTTGCCCTGCACCCGGCGCACCTGCGGGGCCCTGCAGTGCCGCCGCCGCCGCCGCCTCGCACCACATCGCCATTCCCTCCTCCTCCACGAGCTCCTCCTCCGCCAGCAGCTGCAAGAGCCTGCCGGCGCACGGCAACAAGGCTGCTGTACTGTCGGGCCCTGCGGGGGCCATGCAAAGCTCCTCCAGCGCCGAAACCAGTCGACGCTGCTCTGCCGCTCGGTTCAGCTTAAGGAACTCCAGCAGCTGCAGCGGCTTCAATGGTCCCCATTGCTTCAGCCGCCGCAGCGCCGCTGCGCAAAGCTGGGTAGCACCACTGCCGGCGGATACCCTAACCACGTCACGCAGTGCGTACATCAGTACGAGACTCGCCACGTCAGCCCGCGACAAGCTACCAGGTCGGACCAGCCGCAGCAGCTCCCGGGTCGCGGCCTTGGTGGCGTCAGCGGCTGCTCCCTCCGTCGTCGGCGCTACGTGCCGATCAAGGACCTCCTCCACCTGCCGGCGCTGCTGCTCCTGGCGCCCACCCTCGCGCTCTGCCCACTGCTGCCGCCCGCCGCCCAGTACGGCCCGCCGCAAAAGGCCCATTGAGGGGTAGATGACAGTGCCGTCGCGGCGGAGGCGACCCATGAACTGCTGGTGGTCCTCCCAGCTGAGGTGCTCCGCCAGGTCGCTGCACAGGATGATGGTGTCGACGGCGGGGCAGTCCGTGCCGTACACCGCCGAATAGTCCACGACGAGCGTGTGCAACGGTGGCCGGGTTCCGGCCCGCTCGGGCACGTACAACAGCGCCTGCATGTGCGTGCGCAGGTGTAATGCCATGCGTGTGTACATGGTATTGTTTTGTACAAGGTATCGGTAGTGCAAAAGAACGCAGAACCGGGAACTCAAGACGCTCAAACACCCCACATGCCATAACAAATCACCCACGTGTCCCCACCCCGCCGCCATCCATCCATTCCATCCAGCCCACCTGCTGGTACAACCGCTTCACCAGCGGCTCCACATCCTTACTGGCCGTGTACGCCACACCCTTGGACAGCATCACAAGCGTGTCAACATCCGTCACGTCATCCGCCTCGTCAGCCCAGACCGTCAAACCCGGCCGCAGCGCCACACGACCGGCACCGCTCAGTCCGTCATCACGCACACCCGCGCGACCGCCCTCCTCGTCGCCGCGCTTGGCAGCGCGCTCGCGCGCCTTGTCGGCAGCGCGCTTGTCGGCAGCGGCCTCGCGCACCTTGGCGCGTAGAGCATGCGCCTCCGCCGCCCAGCGCTCCTGATCGGCGGGAGATTTTCCTGCGAGCTTCAGCGCCAGTTTCCTGGGCTCCATAGTGGCCACCAGTGTCACTCCCTGTAGCGATTGGAACCGGGGGAGGGGATAATCCCTGGTCATGTGATGCAAAAGTCAAAGCTTGACAACCTGTCGACGTTCGAAGCACCAACTGCCAGGGAGTCCAAAGCAAAAACAAAACTACCAACGCAACTATTCGTCGTTCCGAAGGGCGGAGGAGAGAAGTAAAATATGAAAGAAGGCACAACAAGGAAGGCAAGGAGGAACCACGAAAAAGCCACGATGGAAAGGGCGTCAAGTACATACTGGAGGAAAGGGGGATGAAAAAAGGGAGGAGATCCATGCTGTGGTGGCGGCAAATCCTGACAAGAGGTTAGTAATTGAAAGGAAACGAAAAACAAAAAACGGGAACATTAACCGTTACACAAACATGAAACATGTCATGGAAACAAAAAATTGTGTGACGTCGACTTAGGATTACGACGACGAAAGAGGACGACACGTGCAATGATACAATGATACTTAGCATCATAATTACAGGGCGATACAGGACGATCTCCTGACGGGTTGTCGCCAGTGCGGACGGCACGCGCACCCACCTGCACCCATCTGCACCCACCCGCACACCCACCCACCCCCCACCAACTCCCATCTCCAGACAACCAACCGTCCCACAGTCGACCCCTCACTCCACTCCCCCACCTCACCTGCTTGGACAGCACGTCCCGCATGTCTCCCGGTGCGGGTACGGCCGGCTGCCTCCAGGCCTCCCTCAGCTCCTGGAACCTGTCCGGCTGAGTGCTCAGAGCCCTCAGCGCGGGCTCCAGCAGCTCGGACCGGAGGCCACGAACGTCCTGTTGGAGGTTGGGGAAAGAAGAGAGGGAGTTATCATGTGCCCAGCCTAAGAAAACAACTGCCGGCGTCCAAAGTGAGGGAGTCAGTGAGGAGAGGGAATCCATGATGCAAGGGACAAGAGAGAGAGGAGAGGAGGGGGGGAGGTAGGTGGGCAACACATCCTCCCGCCAAAATGTGGCCCTATGCCGTCCGCATGCGGCGGACATCGTATCTGTCTGGCGCCCCGCCAATCCCCCCTCCTGCCTCCAACTCAACACGCATCTCCCGGGTCGGGCATCTACTTTTTACTTTCATCCGAAACCATTACCCGGCAGCACAATCAACTACCATTCCCATGCCAACATGGCTTTTTAGGGTCCCCGAAGCAGCAGCCTACAAAGCCCTCCTTCTCCGCAGTTCCCAACTCACGAGGTCCAGCATCTTCCACCCTTCGTCCTGCTCTTGCTCCTCCTCCTCCTCCTGCTGCTGCGGCTGCTCCTTTCTTTCCTCTCCCTGCACCTCCTGACCTCGTTCGTCCGGTTCCTCTTCCTTTCCTTTCTTGCTAATCTTCTTCTCTTTCTTTTCCTTCTTCTTTTTCTCCTTCCCCTCCTCCTCCGCCCCCGCCGTCCCGCCGCTGCCATTAGCCACAGCTGCCGCTCCCGCCTTCTTCCCGTCAGGACTGGCCTTCGCCTCCGATCTGTTCGCCGCTGCCGCCGGTGCTCCCGCCTCCAGCCCTAACAGCTGGTTGGCCTGCTCGGACGTGAAGTAACGCAGCAACAGCACTCTGGCTCGTGGACTTCTCTCCAGGGTGGTCGCCAGCTGACCCACATCGTCGAACAGCTCCAGGGGGGATACGGGCACTAGTTGTCCGGACACGTCATCAAGGACGGTAAGCCGACACGTGGGCAACTCGTACGGCTCCTGTGGCATGACACGAGGGACACGCGGAAGCGGAGAAGCCAGGAACATGTGCATGCGTTACACCTTCTCGAGATGCGATATCCCCCAACATCACCCCCCACATTAACCCTCCAAAGATGCAACGGGAGAGCATACGAGCCATGAGGGGGCCTGAAGGACACCAAACGGACGAGGGCTTACCCAAGAAACAGTCATCTAAAAACGCCACAAAAAAACCTATTCTTACTATTATTCATGTAAATGCCATATCGCAGTGTGGATATGATCGAGGAAATTGGGGAAAACGGGATATGAGATGTACGGCAGGGACCAGCTGGTGATCACAGGATCCACATAGGTGTGTACGGATATGGCTATGGACACCATTTCATTGCTACGCCATGCGCTCCAATCTATTTGGGACTTCCTTTCCTCTTCAAAGCGCCACTTGGTACCACATCGCGTCCACCACTACCAATCCCCCCACATGTATCCACACGCGCACGCACGCACATACATACATATATGGTCTAGTCTGGTGACACCTTCGTGTATATGAAGGTTCTGGGTTCGATTCCTGGTCAGACCCCCGACATTGTTCGGGAGGTCTAGGTTTACTAACGCTGCTGAGGTGTGGAGATGAGGTCTAGTTGATGGACTACGTTTCGCATGCTGAGATGGTGTGATGGCTGATCTGTCTCTACGGATGTCGGGTGACTGGATGAGGAGGGGTCTAGTTGGCAGGACCCAAACCGCCGTCGGTTGTACGGTGTAATCAACTTTCAATATATATAGTCCATGGCCTCCCGGCTTTGACGGACCCCCCCCCGCACTCGTGCGGCACTTGTAACTGTAACTGTATATACCCTGCATACACACCTGCGTGATGACGGCGTGCGTGGCCGCGGTTGCCCCGCTTCCCTTCCACCAGGCCGGCAGGTCGTCCCAACCGGGCAGGGTGGCTGAGGCCAGGATGGTGGTCGGGGGAGCAAAGGACATGATCTGACGCACGACTTGCCGGACCTGCGGGCACAGATATACATGCAGCATGACCGCAAGTGAGTAGGCGAGTTGCTGGGAAAGAGATGAAGCAACAAACCTCGCGAAGGAGGGAAAGGACAAAGACAGCGTCTGATAGGAAAGAGCTAGGCGAGGAACGAGTCGACGTACGGTTACACATAACTGGTACGCAAAAGAGGACAAGGAAACAGAAGGGACACTTTCACACCGGAAAAGTTAAATCTCCCGACCTCCTCTCTCTCCCTCCTCTCTCTTCTCTCTCTCCCGACCTCAAGCTGACTGGCTAACCCAAGGAGGACACCTTGTCACATAACCCTTTCTCCGACTGACCTCCTTGTCCAGGTGGATGCCCATGTTTGGCTCGTCCAAATACAGCACCAGATTTGACGAGCGGTAAAACGCGTCATGGGGAGCCTCTGATGCGACCTGGACGAGCGCCGCTGTTGCATAGATGTCCGCGATGATGACATCGGGTTTGCCGCCACCCAAATCCTCGTTCGTCGCACCCTGTGGGCGGTTGGAGGTTCAGACGGCCGGGGAGGGGGAACGGGCAGTGTGAGTGCGGGAGCGGCCGTTCAGGGCCCGGGCAAAACGTAGCTATACAGCTATAACAACAAAACAGGCAAGGCAGAGCAAAGCAAAGGGTCAGCAGATCTGCCCCGCTCCGTTGATCACCACAACGCTAATCACTCAACTCGAGAGACAGGAACTTGACGATTCGGGACAACCCAGTTCAAAGGCGGTGATAAGAGCCTTCCTGACTCATCCTTTTCCCCTTCTTGATCCTCATACCATCGCCCCCGCCCTGACAATCCCCCACGAGTCTGAATTCATACAAATTTGTGTGCCCTTCTTGTCCTCAACCTTCATTGCACAGAACCATGCGCTTCCTCCCTCCTTCCTAAGCTCGTGTCGTATGCTCTAATATCCCCTTTACATCCCACACGCCCTTAACACCGGCCCTTTCCCCCACTCTTCACCCGATGAGCACGCCTCCTCCCCGCGCACGCACCCGCTTAGCGTTTTCCTCCAGCTGCTGTCGCATGGTGCCCGCGCCCGTGCTGCCGCCGCCGCGCTTCGTACGAATCGAGTACGGACGCCGGACCTGTACATTATACCGTGTGAGGACGGCATTGGCGTGCGCACATCCAGGTCGGGCAACGGACAGCAGTAACGCAACCGAGGAGACATCCCCTCCGCTTCGTGTTCGATACGAGGTGGGGGGTTGCCAATGTACGGATAAGGTGTAAAACACATACACACACTGTTGTACGTACAACATACAGACAATAATACGCGGGACGGTCTAGGAGGAGGATAGGCCACGCCCGGGGACTAGACACGAGGACAACACACGCCAGGACTTCAGAATCATCTGTCAAGGCCACCACACCTGGCGGACAGGAAATGACGAGCGTGTACTGTATGTGCGCGCATGCGCGCTCGCTGTATGAGCGAGTGTGCGTTAGGTGCGGTTACATCCTCTGAGAGAAGCGGGGAGGATGCTTCTCTCACGACAGACAGCCGCAAGCTAGTCCCATCACCTCAAGCACCCTACACAGCTGCTCGCTTTAGGAGCTGCTGCTGCTTGTAGCTGCTCGCATTAGGCACCCCGATGGCCCTACCCAAGCACCCCCCTGGAGGCAGCCCACCTGGAAGAAGTCCCCGTCACGTGCCGCCGTCCAGTACACCACCCCGTGCGCCTCACACTCCTGACCCACGCGCTTGAGCACCTGAGGGGGATATGGGGTAAGAGCACGAAGGAGCAGATTCAAGCAGGAGCTCCAACAGGACATACATGGCACATGCAAGGGACAGAACTGAGTGGTGGCGATAGGGCACAGGGAGCATTTAGAGGGGGCACTCGCCACCTCTTCAAGGGCGCAGCTTCCAGTCAGTTCATACGCCCACTGATGGACCTCCAGTGCCCCTCCATAATCTCACTAATAACCTCAAGACCGCACCCTCCTCCTTCTGTTTCCCTTTCGTGTGCCTCCCGCCTTTTCCATGTTGCCCCTCCCTCCCTCCCGCCCTCCCCTTTCGTCCCTCCCTCCCAACAGGCCCCCTCTGTCGGCCCCCTCCCCTCCCCGCGCTCTCACCTTTCCCGGCCCCTTCCCATCCCCACCGAACCAAATGGGCGTATCTATGTGCTAAAAGCAAGTAACTAACCAATAACTAACCAACTGCCGGCGTCCAAAGCCGCAAACTGCTATGAGCCCAAAGCCATGGAGGGCAGATGACTCTTTGTACCCTGGATAGGATTCCCCCATTCCATTCCATTCCATTCCATCCCACCTGCTTAGTGGGCACCGAGTACACCAGGATCGTCTGTGGATGCCCCGTCCTCCCCTCCGCAGCCACCGCATCCACTGCTCCTGCCGCCCCTCCCTTCCCTGCTCCTCCTCGCCCCGTCGCTCCCGCTACGGGGCGCTCCATGTCCCTCAGCACGTGCAAGTGCAACATCACCGCTGTGAAGGTCTTGCCGCTACCCGTGGGGGTGGACAGGATGACGTGGAGGGGCCTGGCCCTTAGCCGCTGTGGCTGCCGCTCCGCTCCCTTCAGATGCTCGTCCACCATGTCTAGGAGGTCCTGTTGGTGCCGGTGGCGCATGGGCGCCCCAGCGGCGCTCGCGGCCCAGCGGTTGGCACTCGACCACATGTCCTGGAGGGCCTGCTGCCGTTCCTTCAGACGAGCGCCGCTCCAGGCGCGCTGCACAAAAAAGTGGGTTCGTTTCTCGTTTCAAATCTTCGGTTCTGTTCTAACTTGGGTTTGTCAGGTTTTAATTGGAAAAGGATAGGAAGGATAGGCGCATAGCATGACGTAGCAGGGAGATATCTAGGTGAGGTCGTAAGCACGGTAAGAAGTTAGGTTTGTAGTACGGTAAGCCAGGGTCGGAACGGACATCGGAGGAAGGCAGGAGAAACCCTTGTATCTCCGTGCGCGCAGGCGTTATGACCATACATGCAGATGCATGCACGCCAACAGACACAGACAACGACATAGACGCGTCGTGTCAGTCACAACTGTACGGTACCTGCGCCGCCGCCCACTCCGACGACCTCGGACCAGCCTCCAGCGCCCGACGCGCCAGGGCAAACAGCGTGTTGCCCCCCATAGCCGCGGCCCCGCTGCGTCCCCTGACTGCCGCTAGCTGGTCCCACGGCTGAATCTCCTTGAGCAGCTTGTAGCCACCACCTGAGCGCACCTGGCCAACAACCTAACGAGGTAAAGAAAGACGCGGAAAGTAAGAAAGAAGCGTTAATCACGTAGGGAAGTTCGTTTTAGTGATGGTATGTGCTCGTAGCACAGTCCTCATGCATTGTTTGGTTTGGTTTTAAGCAGTAACAGACAAGTAACTGGCAGTCAAAGATAGTGAGAGGAGGATGCAGGGTAAATCTATAGCAGCTGGTAGTTGGTCGTTGACTGTTGGCACGAGCAGAATCGTTGTCCAACCCTTTCGGAGCTTTAGACCACAGCAGCAAACACGCCTTTCCTAAATGCCCCCAAAAAGCAGGTATAGCCGTAGATGCAGATGGACTGCAATCGCATGCGGGACGGCCATAAGTGTCCTACTTACCTCTTTGTCATCAATATCGTTCCAGTCCCGCTCATTCAGGGCGCTGCCCACATCAATAAGGGTGGTGCGTAGACCGACCGCCGCCGCCGCCGCGTCAGCCTCGTCGGCCTCCACGGCCGCCGCCACCATTGCCGGCGGCGCGTCAGCGCCCGACCGCGGAGGCACCCCCGGCACCAGCACCTCCCGAACCGCCTGCTCGTCCCACGCCGCAGGATCTGGGTCGACGGCGTGAAGCATCAGCGAATATACGACAGCCAGCGAAGCCGGCAGCTCCGGTTCCATCTCCCGTAGGTATGTCACCGTCTGCTGCAGCGTCGCCTGCCGCTGCGGCGACGGCTTCGCCGCCGCCGCAGCAGCATCAACAACAGGCAACTCCGGCAGGTGCACTTTGGGCTGGAACCAATCGACAACGCTCCGTTCCACCGTCGCCGCCCTTCCCCCAGTAAGGGGGTGCAGCGTGTTCGTCGACGGCTCGTATTCGAACGCCGCGCCCGGGGCGCGCTCGTCCAACAGCGCTTCTGCCACCGCGCGGCGCAGCACCCGCAGCTGTTGCCAGAATGGGTCTACCAGAGTCATCGTCGCCAGGCCACGGCAAGAGATTTCTGCTAAGAAGCTCGGCAGCGGACCTGCTGCCATAAAGCGGTTCGCCACGGCAGGATCCAGCCAAGGTAGCGCTGCCTCCGTCAGCGTCAGATCTCGGAGGATGCTGCCGTCCCGCGCCGCGCGGTCCTGATCCAAATACGCCTGGACGATGTCGTTAATCTGGGTCAAGTCATCTTCGCTAAATTCCCGCAAGCTGATGGGCCGCTTACGGAAAAAATTCACATCCAGGTGCTTCACGTTTGACGGCAGGTGTACGACAGCACGTGCTGCAGCGCCGGGACTAATGGGTGGCACGACGCCGGGGCGGAGGCCGCCGCCTGCACCTGAGAAAGCAGCGGTACGGTGGCGCATCAGACGGTGCCGCAGGTCCATGCCCATGTCGTTACCCAGCACCGCCGCGACCTGCGCACGGCGAAGCAGGGGTGGCATATACGCGCCTGCGGGACCCGCCGCGGCCATGTGCCAGGCGCGCCAGGCGTCTTCGGTGGACCATACGTGGAGGCAGACGCAGCGCGCGTCGATGATGACGTCCTGCGGATGTACGATTTTTGGGACGCCGAGCACGAGGAAGTCGGAGTCCTTGGACAGAACGGCGAAGACGGCGTCGCGGTGACGGTGAGCCCAAGCTAACAGGAGGTCATCCGCAGAGTGGACGCTGCGGATGATTTCCAGACCCAAATCGCGGCAGGCCTGAAACATAACCAGCTCGGCGGTGGGAGGAATGACCTGGCCGATGGTGAGGGCATGGCGCGTGCTCTCGGTGTACAGGCGCTCATGGCGAGGGGCTGTGGCCGAGTCGGCGATGAGGACACAACGCAGGCCGCTGCGTTGCAGGCCGCCAAAGTAGCGACAAGTCTCCTGGTAAAGCTGGCCATGGAATTCAGTAGACTTCCAGTCGATGGCATCTGGTATCTTTGATACCAGGTAGTACAAAACATTGAAGGCGTCAACCAGCAGCAGGTTATCCGGCCGACCATCTGCTTCACCATTTTGCAGGCTGACAACCCGAGGCTTTGCGCCCGCGTTTACCAGCTGCGTAATAAGACCAAAGACACCCATGGCGTGGATCTACCTGGGGATGTGTAGCCAGGACAAGGCAATCAATCAAGCTGACGAATCATATGGGGAGCCTGCGGTGCGGCCACAGCTAGTGGCAAGGGTATCTCCACACCTTAAGATAGATCTAAGGATTAAGCAACCAAGGTCATCAGAGAATTAAGCCGTGGACCCTGCGCTTGCAAAGCGCTTTCCAACGCGCACGTTGAGATGATGGAAGTGACAAATGGACTGTTTTTGCGATTGTGCTTTGGCAGATATGATGTGTTTCCTCACGAGTTATAAATTTTGCTGTTTACTGTGTGCTTTTATGAGTAGTACACGGATACCCGTAAACTACGTACCCGTGAACTGAATTCCGAGATTCCGGCCCCGTGAGGCCTGTGATTTACACAGAGGGTAACCGAAGGCAATCAAAGCAGCAAACCTCCAAAACTAATCAAAACTCTTCAAGTTGAAGTTACACCTAATTATTTTTGGGAATCTTGAGGTCTCCTACAGGTAATGGCGTGTCAGTTGATCTGTGTTTCATAGACACATCCCTTTCCATATGCTTCTGACAAGTGGCCCCTTTGCGGGGCAATCTCAAACATTCATCCTGTCCCTGTAGGAAAGGCTGAAACCTTCCAGCACTAACAAACACCATCCACGCCTATACTTGAACGACGTCCGGTTCTACGTTCATGGACTACAAGGACCCTTGCATGTCGTAACCCCTCTGCGTACTCTTTGTATGTATAACCATCATCCTGACTTCCGGAGATTGCTATCAAAACACATACGCGACGTACCCAAGGGAATGCCCCATGCCTTACGCATCTTTGGTCAAGCCGCGCCCAGAAGCCACCCTGTGGGGCACCAGCTTCTAATTTGTCCCTTGTGCAGTATTGCTCAATCTGGATCCGACAAAAGCTAACCGAAAACCGCTTTGTTTCTATTCTCCTGGTCATACGATCTGCAAAGCAGCTAGATGCAAAACAGCACTTCTATAAACAGCACTTGCCTACAGCGCCAATCGTAGCAATCCAAGAAAACTCATGACGACCTGCTTCACTCGCCAGCTTCACCCACGACCTCCATTTTTGCGGAAGAACATATGTCACGAAGCAGCAGCTCCCAGCCTTGTCTAACCATAAAATCCCTCGAAAGTCGTAGGGAGCGCAAAAGCGTAAACCCACATCATACCTAGCACGCACAATATGCGAGACCAGCTCGACAAAGAAACGACACATCATATTACATTATAACAAATCGTATCACGGTACACAGGAGCATCTGCACCACACGGCGATATTCCCCCAACCGCACCTTTCAATCCCATTTCTTCTGTCTCTGACCTGCTACGCTACGGACGTCAAGTTATTAAAAGCCCATACCACGCGATGGAAGTGCGCCACCGTACGCCCTGGAGAATCCACTAGAAACTGATGCTGATTTACGAAACCACATAAAACCACCTAAAGCAACATCAGGCTATTGATATACCCTGCGGACGGGGAGACCCCTTGTAGTGGGTTCCAACCTGCATAGCGCCAGGTCGCCACTGCCACTGCTACTACTTACTAAGCGTGCACGTTCGTGGTGCCTATATTCCCCGACAGCATCCGTATAGTCTCCGCCACGCAATATGCTTGCGGCCCGGTGGCTACCTCCGGCAATTCATTCAAAAGCTGCGCCACGAAGGCCCCATCACGGAGCAGTGCAGCGGCGGCCGCGACATGGCGAGCCGGGCGCGGCGGCGGCGGCGGCGGCGGCGAGCCGAGTGCAACCAGGCCAGGCGCACGTGTCGCCGCAGTGGCTGCGGCGGCGGCATCGCCGGCGCCACTGCCACTGCCGGCTACCCCCCGGGCTCCATTATCCTGCATCGCGTTGCCCACGGCGGTCTCAGCCAACCGAAGCGCCTCCAGCATGCTGAGCAGCACGCTGCGGGGGTAGGCCACGGCGTTGCGTCGGGCGGGCACCGTGCCCGGCGGCCGCGGCCCTGCTGCGGCTGCCGCCGGCGCCGGCGCCATTACCCCAGTGCCGCCAGTGGTCCTCAATTCGCCTCCGCCTCCACCTTCTCCCGGATCCCCCCCCGGGGCCGCCGCCACATTCCCCTCGTCCGTGTCATCGCCATCCATGAGGGGTCCGGCGTACCTTGACACCGTATTCAGGCCGCGTGGGCCAGCCGCGGAGCCTGCAGCGTTGGGGGGGACTGCGCCCGCGTCTGAGGGCATGGGAGGAAGGGGCACACGGCCCGGCACGCTGCCCCCGCGCTGCGTCCTGACCTCCGCTCCCCGCGGCGCCATGCCGCTCAGCGCCGATGGTCCAGCGGTCGAATCTGCAGTGGCTGCACCTCCTGGCGATGATGCAGCTGTGGTGGTCTGCAAAGTGGGTCCTGCGCTGTGCCGTTCCTGCAGCTGGTCATACACGGGGCTTGCATGCAACATACGCTGCGGCTGCTGCTGCTGCTGCTGCTGAAGCTGCTGCTGCTGCTGAAGCTGCTGCTGCTGCTGCTGCTGCTGCTGAAGCCGAAGGAGGTTGAGGGGGTGTCGCGGCGGCATCTCCTGGGGCGACAGAGGCCGGCGCAAGAGCCCGCGGATGACTGGCGGAATGTCAGTGTCCTCGTCAAAAACCTCGCCGCCCCCGAGGCCGCCGACGCCCAAGTCGCCACTACCACCGTCGCCGGCTTGGCTGCGCTCGCCGCCGGTGCCTCCAGCTGCGCCAGCGTTCTCACCGACTGTCTGCCGCGCCGGGCCGCCTTCCCGGCCTTCACCCGGCGAGTTTCCGTGTTCATGCGGCTCGTGAGCAGTAGCAGAGTGGATCTGTTCAGCCACAGAGCTGCCGTCGCCAGCGGCCGGACCAGCCGGGCCAGCGCCGCCGTCGCGCTCAATACCGGCTGCCACGCCTCCGAAAGCCCCGTCCGCTCCTTCAGCCGGCTCCCTGTCTCCTCCAGATCCCTGGTCCCCTGCCGCCTCTAACTCGCCAACCGCGGCAAGGCCTCTTGAAGCCTGAGCGATACCCGCTGCCGCCGCCATCGCTGCAGCAGCAGTAGGACTAGCTGCTGCTTCTCCGGAAGCAGTAGCAACCGTTGCTGCTGCTTCCCCAGGAGCTGCAGCAGCAGCAGCAGCAGCAGCACCAGCACCAAGGGTTACTGCTTCCCCAGCAGTAGCAGCAGCTGTTGCTGCCAGGGGCACCGCCCCGGCGGCGGGAGGTTCAGGGGGAGGCTGTGGGAGCTGCTGCGCCAGGCCGGAGGCGCCCAGAAGCACGTCCAGCGGGATGAGGTCCGGCAGGCTGTCTGGAAAGCTTTCAGTGTCGCTGTCCTGGCCGTGCTCAGCCTCGCCGTTGTAGTCTTCTTCTTCCTCCTCCTCCTCCTCCTCCTCCTCGTCATCATGATGATCATCATCACCATCATCATCATCATGACTATTGTCAGTATCACCATCGCCATCGCCATCGTCATCATTTACGAAAGAGAATGAAAAGTCCTCCCATAGAGTCGGGAAGCCGGGAGACGTCGCTGCGAGGTTGGCAGGCCCCGTACCTGTGCGGCGCGGCGGTGGGCGGACCGCAACGCGGGGGCGAAGAGGGGCACAGCAATACGCGTAATTTAAGATGCCGTGACGGAAGCAAAACACAAAAACACGCGGCCCACGGCGGATGGTGTGGTTTTCTCTTCGGCTTGCTAGGGCTGTTCCACGTTCCCCCAGAAGAGCCACCCCTTCCACGGATAGCCTTATCGTCACAGCTCGGCACGGCCTTGCCTGGCAATCCCCTTTAATCAAACCTTTGCTCCCCCTCTTGCAAGGAGGCCATCACTCACACACGGCCACACACAGCCACACACAGCCACACACACACACACACAGCCACACACACACACACACAAGGACACTACGCAAATCCTAGCCAATGCGTTTTCCCTTTTCCTTCACAAGCAATCCTTTATCAAATGCTTTGTTATCAACACCACCCAGCCAAGCTTGCCTGCCACTCCGCTGGCACCTCCTGCATCGCCATCATGCTCCGAAACAGGACCTTGCAGTCCCCTCCCAGATGCAAGATTGGCCGCGGCGGCGGAGCCGGGGCCGGCGCCGCCATCCGCGATCCGCAACGGCGCGTCGCTCAGCTCAGATCGCCCTGCTCCTGCTGCCGTCACCCGCGGCGGCGCAAATCGCACCGCCCAGGAGGGGATGTCCTGCTCCTCGTAGGACCCCGGCAACCCCGGTCGGTCATTGGGATGGCTGCCGTCGCTGTCTTCCGGCGGCAGGTACCTTCGCCAGGACAAAGGAAACGACGACATGCCCCCAAGTTGAATGGGCAGGATTCGCGCAGCAGTGGTTGTGGTTGTGCCGGCGGAAGTTATGGTCGTTGCGGCTGTTGTGGTGGCTGTGGTGCTCGGACTGCTGTCACCACCCGGGCGATCGCTGCCTGAGGTGCTGGCCGTACCACCGCCGCCGCCGCCGCCGCCAGCTCCGGCACCCCTAAACCCCCCAGCGGGTATCGTAATGCTGACTACGGAGCCATGCGGCACGTTAATTAACATGTCGGCCGGAATGCGGACGAGAGACGCCACGATCTGTGATGTGGCGCCGCCACCGCCGCCGCTGCCACCGCCACCGCTGAAAGCTGCAGGGGTCCGCGGCCGCAGCAGACCGCTGAAGGATGCGGTGGCCGTCGCCGTCGCCGCTGTCGGCTGTCCCCGCAGCCCAGACACCGGCTCCAAGCCGAGCGACCAAGCCGACGACTCAGCGGAGTTGCCGCTGGCACCGCCGCCGGCACCGCTTGCAACTGTACGAAAATCAAGGAGTGCTCGCAGTAAGGCTTCCATGGCGGCGGCCCACGACGTCTCGGCCCCCGATTGGGTGTTGGAAATCCCTTCTCTAGCCTGCACTGTCGAGCTTATAGCAGCAGCCGTCTGCCGGGACGACGACGACGACGGCGAGGAGGAGGATGGACCCCTGCGCCCTGTGCGCTGCAGATCTGATACGGAGGCCGGCCGTGGCGTCGCCCTGGTTCCCGTTGTGGCTGTGACCGTGGCCGCGGCCGCCGCTGCTGGCGGCCGTTGCGGCCATCGTTGGGAGCTTTGGTTGCCTTGGCTCTCCACCCAGGCAAAACGCCGACGGCGTTGTCCGGACGGCTCGCCATCTGAGCTGGTTTCAGAGTGCACCAGCGAAGGCGTACTGTCTGAATGATTGCTACCGGTGCTCATGCTACTGCTGCTGCCGCCACCACGCGGCGTGTCGGAGTTCGACAGGAGAGGCGGCAAGCTCCGCGGGGAGGATCTGCCGCCTGAAGAGTCGGACTCGCCGCCATACGTATCATCCTCGTCCCCACAAGCACCCGCCGCCGCATTCGGTCCATTTCGGTCCCGTGGCCGCTCCCTGGCCATGCGCCGATAGATGCTCAAGCCGCTGCTGGTGTTCGTTGCCCCTCCACCGAGGCTCCAGCTACCGTTGTTGTTGGTAATGGTGGTAGTGGTAATGGTAGTGGTAGTGGTGCTGCCGAAGCCCCGTTGGCCGCCTGCAGGTGCTGTAACAGACCCACCCCCCGCGACGGCGGCGCCCTCGGTGCTGCCGTTGCCGTTGGCGCCCGTGGACGAGTAATGCAAGCGGTTCAGCGGCGGTAGAACGTCATCACTGCCCTCATCGCTATCGACCGTCGTCTCGCCGGCAGCGACGTCCCACCCGCCGTACCCGTGCTCGTACAGCTCGTCCGCCAGTATGTCGTCCAGACCTTGCAGGTGGTCATCGAATTCGGCTCCAAACGAGCCGGTTCCCGTCAGGCCGTTCGCGTCGACGTCGACATCGTGGCCGTAGCCGCTGTTCCTTGATGCGACGTCGTCACTTCCCTCCTCACCCAGCAATGGCTGCTGCACCAGGTCGCCATCGCCATCGCTGTCGTCGCCGCCGTCGCCGTCGGCGCATGGCACGCCTGCGCCTGCGCCGCCGTCCTCGTTGTTGAGCAACTGGGGGGCCGACGCCCCATCACGAATGCTGCTGTCGCCGCAAGCAGCCTTGCCCACCTCCCTATCCACATGCCCTTCCCCGACGTCGGTGGAGTTGGACTGTGGCGTGCCCACGCTGCTGCCATCGTGACCACCACAACCAGATCCACCACCACATTTACCACGCTGTTCATTATCGACGGCGGCAGGCTGCCTAGCACCCAGGTGGCTGACGCCACCAAGGCCGTGCTCCGGACCGCCGCTGGCTCGTCGACGTCCCCGCGGCAAGGCCCACCACTCCCTCCACGACCCGTCCTCATCCTCGTTCTCATCATCGCTGCTGCCGTCGCCACCGACACTTACACCAGTACCTGAAGCCCGCCGCTGCCCCAGCAGCAGCCCTGCTGCACCGCCCACATCCTCGCATCCTGGCCGCCGCCGCTGCTGTCCCAATCGCCACCATCCAGCACTGCTATCGCTCCTGTAGCTGGGATCCCTGGCCCCAGAGCTGCCATCCACCTGCCCATCCTCCGCACCGCCGCCACCCGCCGCCGCCGGACAGCCACCTTCCGGCCCTGCGCCGCGAACTCCACGGACCCCTTCCCCCCGCCCAGCTACGCTGACGGCACCAGGCAGAGCGACCGGACCCTCATGGCGCTCATGCAGCCAGCGGCGGGGATGGGGAAGGCGGCACCGGGCGGGGCGCGCAGTCTCTGACTCGTCGCTGTCCGACACGAGCACCTGCAGGCCCTGCGCCCAGGCGTCCACATCGCCAGCATCCCCAAAGACGCTACCATCCTCAGCCGCATACAGCGGCTCAAACGGCGGTGGTGTAGACAAAGCATCACCAGCGTCGTCGCCATCGTCCCCGCCGGAAACAGACTCACCCACATCCACAGAGATCGACGCCGCCGCCCCGAGTCGCCACGGCACCGTCACACGACGACGGTCTCGCGGCACAGGGGCAGCCGCAGCCGCCACCGGCATCGTCGGCCGTGGAGACAGGCACGCCGCGATCTCCTCCAGCTCCAAGTCCCCTTCTGGTAAGGTCGCATGGCCAAGCGAGAGGGAGCCGCTAGCTTCCGTGGATGCCAGGCGGCGGCGGTGCGGCAGCACCGGCAGGGCGCGGCGTTCATGCCGCTGTTGGGCGTGCCGTCGCCGCGCGGACTGACCAACGGAGGCGGCGGCGGCGCCGGCGGCACCTGGCGACGTGCCTGGTGCCGTATATGCAGCGCCGGCGGCGGTTGCTTCCGGCGGTGACGGCGCCGCCACCGGGCTGCAAAAGGCCCCAGTTGCTATCATCCGTGCTAGAGCACTGAGATCCCTTTCTCCTGTGGACAGGATTTCGGACCTGGATCCTGCTACTCCCCGGTCATCCTCGCGTGTGGTGAACCTGAATTCGGGCCTTGGGCACGTGAAGGAGGCGGAGCTGGTTTCGGCGCCGTTGGCACTACGCACGGAAACAGCATGCCTCGCGTTCCCAGTCTGCCGTGCGAAACGCAGAGTAGCGCTGGTGTTGCGAATCATCGCCAGGTGCGGCGGCGTGTCATCAGCAGCGGTGTCGACGGCGCCCAGCGCGTTCAAAACATCCAACCGGCCGCCGTTTGGCTCCGACAGCGGCGGCTCTACCAACCCCTGACGCCTCCGTTGCCGCCGCAGCTGTCGCTCCTCCTCACACGTCGCGACACGCGGCTGCTGGTACTGTTGCAGCTGCTGCTGCTGCTCCCCCTGCTGGCCTTGCGCCGTGTACACGGGCGCTACCGCCCGCCCGCCCGCCCTCTCGACTGACGGCGGGACCGGGTGAGCCGGGTGACAGTGACTGAGGCGGCGCAAGTCGCGGGCAGCGCCGCTGCCGCCTCCCACCCGCTGCCCTCCCCCAGCCACCGCAGCGGGGCCCCTTGATAAAGGCCTCAGGCCCAGATGCGACGGCAGGCGCGGGTTCACGTGCGTCTCAGAGGCCCCCCCAAGAGTGCAACAAGTCCGGTCAGGGAGTCCCCGGTAATCATCGGTGTTGCCGTCGCTGTAATAGTAGCACCACTGCCACTGCCGGCCAGGGCTGCGGCCGTCGAAGGCGGTGTTGCCGTCGCCCCCGTCGGCGCCATCATCGAGGCTGTCCCACGACTGACGGCCCGCCTGCACAATGCATATACGTGGAGATATGGTGTGGGATTTAAGGAGAGGAACGGAAACGGGTACTGCCGCGTGGGCATCATGTTGAGGGGCGGGCGCGCGGCGGGCCACAGCAGGGTGGTGTGGGTGGTGTCAGAGCGCGCAGATGCAGGTATGGGGGGAGCCGCTTTCGGGGAGCGCGCGGCGCAGTGCGACGGACGATACAGCAGCCCGATTTGCAGCAGCAACGCAAGGGCCAGGCAACTGTCAACGGGGACGCGATTACGAACAAAATAATAATAATAATAATAATAATAATAGTAATAATAATACGCATTTGCCATGCAAGCTGCAAAATACTGGCTTTGTCCCAGGCCTTTTGGTAAGACATGACCCTAATCGTTAAGGGGCAAGGGATTTCAGGACAGTTTTCATCCTCTTACACCACAATATCTTGCCGGAGCGTAAACCATCCCCCGCATCGTATATTTCCACAGCAGCCCATACCACCGCACGCACGCACGCATCGCAACACAACGCTGGGGCCAATGCCCCCTCAAGTTCCTCCTCACACGCACGCGCGCGTCTCGCACCCGCTGTTGCTGGTGCCGCTGTCGCTGTTGAGGTCTTCGATGGCCTCCAAACGACGCTACCTGCCGCCGTCCACTCCGCGCCTCACGCCCTCGTTCGTCGTCACCACCATTATCTAGGTTCCGCCAAGCCGTTATGTGAGCTCCATCAGTCTCGCCCGCACCGCCGCTGCTGCCGCCAAAGGTGGAGCCCGCTGCCGCCGCCAAGGCCGACGGGCACAAGGACCGCAATCTCGGACTATGGCCGCCAGTGCTTGTGTTCGTCTCCACAACTCTGACTGGTCCCGCACCAGCGCTCTGCCACGGCCCTGTCTCGGACAGCTGGTTGAGGGCCTCCACCCCGAGTTCCGTATTCGGCAGCCGGAGCAGTCGCGGCGGGAAACACGGCACCGCGGCCGTACACAGCATGGCCGCAGCGGCGGCGCATGACGGTACGGCCAGACCCCCCAGTTCGTCTCCCGCTGCCCCCGCAGCCGCCGGTCGTGGCGGCGGTAGCTGTGTAGCCTGAACCGGGTTCCACATGTTTTCCATTGACGCGACGCGGCGCAACAGCAGGCGCTGTAACCTATCACTTGCTTCGGGAACGCCGTACTGGCGCCCTCGCAGCAGTAGTGGCGCTCCTGCTGCTGCCCCTGTCGCCGTTGCGGTGGTCGGCTGCATATCGTCGGCACCCGAGCCGCCGCCGATAGCTGCCAACGGTGCTGATACCCGGTTTCGGGGCTCCAACCCAGTCGATGGATGGTCCGGCGGCAGTGGCTGCTGAAGAGGCCGCGCAGCGCCCTCCGGAACCCCAGGTGGTGCGATTGGGCGCAGCAGGGCGCGTGCAGAGCCGAAGGGTCGTGGGCAGCCGGCGGCAGAGCGGGGCCGCCTCGCCGCCGGCACCTGATGGACCAACGCACGCATGCGCGCGGTTGTCACCTCATCACTTCTCAGTCCCCCGGCCGTCTCCTGGGTTCCAGCTGTGTGAGGACTGCGAGCTGCTGAGGCTGCTATTGCTGTAGGGGAGGCGGCGGCGGCGGCGGCGGCGTGGCCGCTGCCGCCACTGCCGCGGCAGCGGGACGCAGCCTGGCGCTTGCTGTCCCCTAGTTCGCAAGGGCCCTGTTCGGAAGCCTCTCCACTGAAGCCGGAGCAGCCGATCCCAGCCGCAGACACGAGCTCCTCCACGTCAGCATCCGCCAGCTGTCGCCAAAAGCGGAACACACTTGAATCGGAATCCAAATCCGCGTCTGAACCAAGTCCAGAGCTCGTGGACTCGCCGTCAGCCTCTTCCGCATCCAAGTCGCGGCAGCGGTGAATCGGCGAGCCCTGAAGAGCGTCGCCCGTGGCAGCAGCGGCGCTGCTGCCGAGGTGTACGGCGCCTGCATCCTCAATATCTAAGATACCTTGCCCCGCCTGCTGCCGCGGCAGCGTACTGCGGCTACGACCCCCAGCGACTCTGGTACCGCCAGCGGTGGCAGCAGTGGTCGCGAGCCCGGCTGCAGACCTCCGAGCTGGCTGGCCTTGTGCGGCTACAGGGCTCGAGGGATGCTGTTCTGCAATATCTATCGTCGTAAGGTCAGTGGCTGTCCCCACGGCCATCTGGGCCAACGACAGCTCGACAGTCGTAATCGCCGCCGCCGGCGCTACCGCGTTGTTGTCAGGGGGACTGCTACCGCCTGACGCGGCAACGCGTACGCCATTCCGATGGGGGCGTACCACCACAGGTTGTACGACCGGGCCGCGACCCAGAGCACGAACAGTATGTCCGCCGGCGGTAGGCCGTCCACGCTGCCCCTCCTCACCTGGTTGCTGTCCCAGCCCCAGCTCTCGCTGTTGTCGACGCCGTTGGAGCCACATGGAAAACGGCAAGGACGGCGTAGCAAGCGTCCCGGTTGGTGATGCTACCGGGGCCTCTGCAGCAGACACTGTCGGCGGCGGCGCCGCAGTGACTGTAGTCCCGTGGGGATTTCCTAGTGCAGGCCCGTCTGGCAGTGCGATGGCACCTGGGGCGCCTGCGGCAGTCATAACTCCGGGTTCAATCCCGGGTTCAGTTCCAGATCCGACTCCCCTAGTACGACTAACGCCAAGCCCGCTTCCCTGCCCTTGTACTGCATATGCCTGCTGCAACGTCGTCGTCGTCTCCTGATGATGTTGTTGTTGGTGGTGGTGGTGATGTTGGTGATTATGAGTCTGTTCATGTTGCGCAGTCGCCCCCAGGGAGGGCGTCCCGCTAGCCGCAGTGACGTCATCCGACCGCGCCGCCAGGGCCCGCCACCCAGCCTCCGGTCGTGCCACACCCGTGCCCGTGCTGCACCAGGCCGAAGCCACCAGCTGCTGCCGCACCCGCATCGCTCGTAGCGGAGGCGGCCGCCGCGCAATTACGGCAAAGGCATCAGAAGACAGACCCGCGACGAACATGACTAGCCGAAGCGGCACCAGCACCGCGCTCAGTGCAAAGCGCGCCGCAGCCCAGGCGAGTGACAGGCTCCTGCTGCGACGCCGTCCTTCGACGCCAGAGGGGGGCCGCCCGTGTCTTTGTCCATGTCCCTCCCCCTCCTCCGTCACATATACCGAGGCAGATAGAGTCACCGCGTCAGCGGCCAGCGGCTGCCGCTGAGCCTCCAAAGGCGCGCCCTCTTCCTCGCGCCCGGAGTTGCCCAGGCCTCCTGCTATTGACGTGGCGTCTAGCCGCACAGAGCTGGCCCGCCGTGCGGGAGGTGTACTGGCGGTGTTGGCGGCGCCGGGGCCGCCGTTCGGCGGGGATCTGGGTCGCTGCGCCTCATCCGCCTCAGCTGCCCGGTATGCAGCCAGCAGCGGTTCTCCCTCATCGGCAAACAGATCCAGGGAACCGGCGCAGCCGCCGCGCCCGTCCGTCGCGCCACTCGCCCGACTGCTGCAGCTGCTGCCGCTGCCGTCACTGGCGGGTCGCGGCCCAAGCACTGCATCCGGGCTGGCATCCGCCACCAGCAGCCCTCTTGCCGCCGACTCGATGGCGCTGCCGTTGGCTGCAGTCGCTGTCCGCTGCGGGAGTTCCGCATCGCCGCGGCCGCCGCTGCTGCTGCTGCCGTGTAACCCCACTCCAGGCGCCATCGCGGCCAAGCTGCCCCAGCTGTACGAGTCGGTGTCATAGCCATCCTCCTCCTCCTCCTCGAATTCCTCTGCCTCGTCGTCAAAATACTCGGTATACACCTCCTCCGCCTCATCCCCCTCCCAGTCATCCTCCGAGTAAACCCACAGGTCCTCCTCCTCCTCCTCCTCCTCGTCGTCGTCCAACCCATCGACATTACCAGCATCACCACCATCCTCCTCGTCCCTACAGTTATCCTCGTCCTCGTTGTCCCCGCTCCCTTCGCCACTACCATCACTGCCATCGCCGTTATGTTCCTCTGAGGAAGAGGAGGCGGCGGCGGCGGCTGAGGAGGAGGGAGAACGGGCTCCGCTGCGACCAGTCGGTCCACGCGCCACCGGGGCCGGCTCCTCAGCTCGGGGACTGCCACGGTGGGATGCGTAGGGGCTCCTTACCAGCATCTGGATGCGATTACGGGTCAGGTCGCTCACGCGATTGTGCAAGTCCAGCAGGCCTGTGAATCCCCATGGGGTCGCAGCGGGTCGCCGTCGCGGCGGTTAGGAGAGGAAGCGGAGGAAGAACGAAAGGATGGGACCCCCAAGGCCAGCTCTGACACGTCACGCGGTGTGGAGTGAGGGTGATGTGCCGCGAGGCCATGCGAATGCTGCTATTTGGATCCTATTTATTTATGAGCAGGTGGCGTGTTGAGCAGGGCTTGGTTGGGCCCTTTAACGTTGGATTGGATGGCCTTCGGCTACCGCCGAGCGAGCATGACACTGTACAAGAGTGGGTCTCATTTGGGTGACTTGGGCTATTTGGGTGAATTGGGTGATATAAATTAAACGGGTGGCCATGCGGTAATGTGACTATTGGGGAGTTGAGCCGGGAGCTGTTGGGTGAATGGGGTGGGGTGGGCACAAAACCCCATCCGCCCTCATCCAACCCCTACAACGCTGTACCACTTCCTTCGATGGGAAAATTGCTCGTGTGCCATATCCGCAATTCCTTCAATTCTCCATTTCCTTTCTAACAACACGCAACCCACAGAACCCGAGTGAAAAGTGAACGCATGCTCCGTGTAAAGTAAGTCAAGGGGCGGGTTCCGTCCCCCGTCTGGCGTCTCACCTATCTGCCTAGGTTGCAGCAGGCCAGCGCTAGAACCCCCGTCCGCCCCGCCTGCAGCACCACTGCCTATGCTGTTGCTGTCGCCTCTGGTATCGCTGTTAGTGGCGTTGCTGTTGCCGGCCGTCGCAGTAGCTGAGCCGCCAGCGGCAGCGCGCATGTGACGTAGCGTAAGGCCGGAGCTCAGGCTGCTAAAGGCCATACTGTTGAGCATTCCGAGGGTTCCACCACCATATCCGAACAGACCCCCCTGCACGCCGTGCACGCAAATCGTCGGAAATAACGCGTATTGGCTTTTGCGGGTAGGTGGTGGAAGTCAAGCAGGTCAGCAGGCCTAAAATGGCGATGAGGCACGCGTGTAAATGGCTACCCTTTGGACCTTATGCACGGGAAACGTAGTTGTTCTGCTTTGTTGTGCGAGAGCTTCAGCGGAGCACGGCTGCGGCCTCGTACTGACCATTATGCGAAATGCCCAGGGGCACGGCCGCCATGCACGCAGCTTACCCGCTCGCGGAGTCGGCGCTGAAAGGGAGACAAGAATATGGGCTGCGGGGCGTGGGAAAAAAGAGGATGCTTCATGGTTGTGGTAGGGGAAGGAGAGGGGACGGCCGACCAACGCGACCAAAAGGCACAAAACCTGGCTAAGACATACCTCCTCATCGTCCGAGCCGAAACCAGCCGGGCCAAAGCCGTCATTAATCGTCCCAACAGCAACGATCGGTACCTCCCCAAAGCCTGTGCGTTGCAGCGGGTAGACAGGGATGGCGTGACAAGGCGCCGGGTATAGAGAAAACAAACATAGGACAAACATGGCAAAACACAAAGCAACCATGACGGAAATAGCTGTCCAGGAAAGGGTTGTGCCTTGCGCCAAACAAAAACGAACATGGCCCTCTGCCAAAAATTGAACCCTAGGCAGCAAAGCCACCGAAGCGTGGATACGCAAAAAGCTAAAGCCGAAGACATGAAGCTCCAGACCGCGCTTACCTGGCACTGTTATTGAACTGTGGCTAGGCATCCCTCGCCGGTGGTGGACGACGGGCCGAAAGCCCTTCTGTTGTCCTAATGCTAAGCAATATATCTTCTCTTGCTTACATACTCGGCATCTTAAAAAATGGCTACAGTCTCTAGTGCTGGAGCGTCTTGAATTCGGTTGAAAAAGGTACACACATGTAAAGCAAGTCCCGTTCAACGTGGCAAAGATACGCTTGCAATAAGATTCAACGAAATTTGGTCCGTACCCTCTGTACCTAAGGCTGCACGATGTTAAGTTCCATGAACACCTTCCGTATACATGTACTGGAGAGATGAGGCTTCATCCTGGTGTTCCAAAAGGCCATTTCGGCAATAGGCGCAGGCTATGGCAATCCTTCCATTGACAAGATGCGTCAGGTCCTTTCTGCGTGCAAGGCACCGGTTGCTCTTCGCTTGTGACACATGGTAAACAATAAATTCTGAGACTTAATTCTAGGCAAGCTCAAGTAGCACAGGGGTTCAGACAATTCGCTTCTGGAAAAGGAAGCGAGGCCTGGACCGAGCGACCCGCGGGGCGTTCCGGAGTTGCAGTAGCTTGAAGCGGCAGGCAGCAGCTGATTCCGCCAAATTGCAACGAAGTAGCACGAGGCACTATGCATAAAATGCCTGTAAGCTTAATGGCCTTTATCGATCACCACAAAATGTAGCAGTGTTTTGGACAATACGCAAGCACGACATATCCCCGTCGTCAACAACCGCCACACCATCATCCACATCGTAACTATCTGTCTGAGCTGGCCTCCTCAGGCTCTATCCCAGGCTTACAACTTATCACACCTATTCACCTATAACTTTGTGGCCGGATTGCAGACAGCCATCCTCGCTATCTTGCCTCATCCCACCGCAAGCGAAAACGTGGCTCAGCATCCCCAACAAACTCCAAACTTCCCAGCATCACTTACCCACATCGCACAAATAGCACACAGTCGCGGGCAAACAGCAAGGCGATACCTACCCCCTCCCAAATCCACACCATCCACCATACGCACACCCGCAAACCTCTCCACAAACTCTACATACCTCCTCCGCACTGTTAGGCCCCCTATTTCTCTATCCGGGTAAGCCCCGCGGCCTCCCCTGTTCCGACCCAAAGCGTAACGGGCTCCGAAGCAGAAGACTCTAGGGTATCCCACCCTGGAGCTAAGCCGTAATAAGGACCGTATTAAGACCGAGGGTTCAAACGAGGAGCTGTCACCTGAGGGAGACTGTTCACCTCCTGCCGTAAGTGCCTTGCTCGTCCATGATCGTACGACTAGGGGCGCCCTGCTGGACATGTTCAACTTCCTCCGAAATCAGCGCGCGCGTCCCCTCGCACAGCCACGGCAGCAGCGGCAGGGCCTGGCGAGCCGCCCAGCCGTACAGTGTGTGCCGTAGAGCGCGGCCCTTGGACGATGATACGGCGGCAGCACCAGCCATCCTCACGTCCTGGACCGGAGCAGTGGCCGCCGATTGATCGCCGCAACGACCCTCCCCATCTGCCTCAACGTCGTCGTACTGGCAGCGGCAGTGTCGTACAAGCTCTTGCAGTGCAGCAAGTCCCGCGGGATACCCAAGGGGCCCCGCCGCCGCCGCCGCCATTGCAGTCACGTGTTCATAGCTGGCGGCGCCGCCGTCGTCGGCACCAGCCGCGGCGGCCGGCGTCGACCGCATCAGCGTGTGTACGGCCTCCGCCAACAGAGGCTGTGCCAGTGGATGCTCAAAGAGCTCCAATCGGGCCGCCGCCGCCAGCAGACGCGCCAAGTCATCAGGCGACAGCCGCGGTGGCGGCGGCGGCAGCTTGAGAGCTGGCCCTCGCTGCCGCGGCCGCTGCTGCTCTAGGCGACGGTGATTACGAGGAGGTTGAGAGAACCGGCGGGGTTGTCGTTGCGTGTAGCGATCCCCGCCGCCGTGGGGTGTGGGTGATGTCGCTTCCGATCCAGCAGCGGAAGCCGCGCCGTTGGCCGACGGCACCGCGGCCTGCAGCCTGTACAGCACCTGCCGAGCCGCAGCCACACGCATGTCCGGCCGCCCCGCCGCCGCCCCGCTGTCATACAGCGCATGCACGAGAGCTGCTAGGTCGCGGGCCGCAAGCCGACTGGGCCGTGGCCCCGCAGCGCCGCTGCAGCTGCGCAGTGCCGTGTCGGCAACAGCTACGAAGCAGAGGCGAAGCTCGTCGTACAGCCACTGAGGCATTGCTGGCTGTGTGCTGCTGCCATTGGCGCCGCCGCCGACGGTGGTTGGCGCCTGAGCCACCACCAGTACCCCTGCCAGGGCCTCTGCCAGCGCCACTAGCGCCTCTCCACCCGCCGGCGGGGGCCCCTCCTCTGCCCCCTCTCCGTCTCCCTGCTGCCCAGCCGCCAAGAGGACCTCTGCTACGGCTAACAGTCCCTGACTCAGCGCCACAAACACCGCAGTAACGCCACGGGCCTCCGCGTCTTCGGCGTCCTCGGTATCGACGCTCGCCGCCGCCGCCATCGCCGGGGCACCTGCATCGGCGGCGTCCCTGCAGCCGTCGACGCGGTCGACAGACACGGAGGTGCGCCGATGGCGCTGCGCGTCCGCCGCCGCCGCCGTGGCGCCGCGGCCTAGCACCCACACGAACCGCGCCATCGTCTGCGGGTTTCCCGACACGGAGGGGGTTCTGGCGACAGCGACCAACCCGGCGGCTAGGCCATCCGCTGACGGCGCGGCACGCCTGACGAGTAGGTACACAAGCCGCATCACCGCCGGCGCGCCGGCAGCACGCAGCCGTACGAGTGCCCACACAGCCGTCAGTGCCTGACGGGACGTCATGAGGCTCAGCCCGGTAAGGACTGACCGGCCCAATTTACGGAAGGTCACCGCCGCCGCCGCCGCGGCCGCGGCCGCGGCGGTGGCACCGCCGTTATTATCTGCGCTGGAGTTCGTCTCGCCATTCAACAACCGCCACGCCGTCAGGGCAGCGGGCCGATGCTCCAGGACCGCCAAAGCGCATAGCAGCCGGCCTGCGCTGCGGGGCAACAGCGGCGGCGAATTGCCGTGGGGGTCCTCTTCCGCTGCCTGCAGTACGGGTGCAAGGCGCGCCAGGAGCTCATCCATTAGCCGCGGGGCGTGCACTCCCACCCTGCCGTACGCGACGGCGAGCTGGTACAACTCCCCCGGGCTCAACTCGTCCAACGGTGCTGCTGCCGACCCACCCACGCGCCGCTGCCGTACACCGGCGTTGGCTTGCGCTGGCGCCAGCACCTCCGCTGCTGCAAGGAACAACCGCCGATTTGCATGACCTACGGCTCCGCACGCGCGCAGCAGGCGCGCCAGCGTACGCGGCTGGAAAAAGCCTCCACCTCCGCCGTCCATATTATCGCGATTCTGCAGCTGCGTCACCGCCAGCTGCGCCGCAGTGGCAAACAGCGCTGGGTGGTAGCGCCGAGCACGGGCCCAATCCTCCAACAGCGTCGCCAAACCCAGCGGCTGTAGCTCCGGCAGCCGCAGCAGCGCCTCCCGCGCCGCTAGGTGCCGTAGCTCCCGGGGGCTCCGAAACCCCAACACGCCCAAACCCCACATGAGGTTTGACAGGCCTTGTGCACTGAAGCGATCTGTTTGGGCGCATGCGACCCGTGTTAGCGCGACAAGGGCCTTAGGGTGGATGGCAGTAGACGACCGCGAGGCTGGTGATGTTGGCGGCTGCGGCTGCGGCTGTGGCGGAGGAAGTTCTGGGGGCGGTTCGGGAGGCGGAGGCGGCTGCGGCTGCTGCGGCGACGATGACGATGACGAATGGGGGCTTCCGCTGGGCGACGGAGGATTCCTACTGCTGTTGCTGCCGGTGTTGCTACTGCCGTTGGCGCTGTTGACCGCGCTTCTGGCAGGATGCTTGCGGCTGCTACTGCTGTTACCGCCGGTGCCGTCTACTAGAGTGAAGCTGCCCTGTTGGGCGGTGTCGCTACTGCTGTTGCCAAGGCTACTGCTACTGCCAGACATGTCCGTGCTACTGCTACTGATTATGTCACTGCTGGTGCTACTGCTGGTGCTAACTGCTGCATGGTGAGGGTCAATGCCGTTACTCCGCATCGTAGCTACCATGGTCGCCATGGCCCACACGAACATGCTCACGCCCTGCGCCGTCAGGGGTACCGCTTTCCGCGCCGGCGGGCCCCCGGCCGCCGCATCCGCGGTGGCGGT